ACCTCGAGCGCCTCTGCGTCCTCCGCGTGAACAAGCTCCCTGATTGGCCTCCGTAATACGTCCTCGGAAGAGTTAAGACCTAAGAAATTCACTAACGCGGAGCTGCACTGCGCGACGCGGAATCCGCCATCCGCGGTAAGGAGCGCCGCGATTATTACTTCGTCAAGGAGAGAGGCAACGAGCGGGGAAAATTGTTCGGTTGGCGAAGAGAACATGTCTGAACCGAAGCTAAGGAGACAATCGAGCGAGTCAGAGCACATGGTCATAACTGGAGATTAGGTTAAGCACGAACGCCACGCCGACGCGAGATTCCTGAAGAAAGGTGAACAGGATGTATGAATATCAATGCACGCTGTGCAGCACGTGCGACGCGACGCGCGGCGAGGTTCTATTACATGGTTCAGTATCCGCAATACGATCCTGAGAGGCCAGAAAGTTTTGCGTGGAAGAAGCTCAACAAGAGTAATACATGTCTAACAATCCCCAGCCAAGTGAAAAAGTCAGAAGCTTTTTCTTCTGAAAGAAATGTCACTCGTATCTTAGCAGCAACAACACCAGCAGCAGCGGTCGTGTCAGAGAAACAAGAATTTTGAATGACTGCTGTGAGCATCAAAACAGCTGCAGCAATCCGTGGTCCCTCCCTCAAACTTGCCGTGGCGAGGCGAGCCGAAGGGTGTGGTCGCCGGGCCGGGCTTGGGCGAGTCGTTGACAGATATTCTGGCGATGACGACAACGACGATGACTGTCATCCGCTCTTCGGTGAAAGGGCGCGGACGAACGGATTGGGTTCAGGACTTCTTTGGCTTTCTCTCGCCCGAGATGATTCACGAAACGAATTTCCAAGATGGCTAAAATATTGCTTGTTTGCCAAATTACAGGGGTGGAGAAGAGCAGAGTCCGATTTTGCTGGGAATGTCAAACACTTTGAGAATGTCAATTCTACGCATGTACAGATGCCCCCCCTCCTAATTTTAGAGAATTTCACCTGATTCCACCAGCCAAATGCCGCCACAATACTACCCTGTTGGTGTCAGTCCAAACCTCACCGGACTACTGTAATCATAGCGGATGCAGCCCAAACACCAAAGGCGGATGTGGTAGAGCTCGTTACCAGATCCACACTCAAGTTCCTTGTTTGGGAGATTCCAACAATTCCCTGCACAACTTCTTGCCACACTAGAGTTCACTACTGTACCAAGCGTGAGTTCAATAACGAACCAGTTCCACCATACGGTGTCTGATTGGGCATCCGTCCTCAACAACTAAAAAAATTACAGTAACGTGAAATTACGAGAAATTACACCATTTTGTTTCAATCCCGTGAAAAGACGAAGCCGCGTCATCCCAATCTGTGTTTCGACTGGTTGGGTGGAGACGCCGTCCGTAAGACAAAAAAAGCCGCTTCCTTGGCGGACCGAGGTGGCAGGACAGAACAGAACTGTCAGAAAGGGTGTCTGATGCAAATTCCAGTGCGGTGCCTTGTGGTGCTCAGCGTTTCGGCTGGTCTTTTCAGTGATGGAATGGGATCTTTTCCCACGCGCCAAAACAAAGATTGGATTTGAGATCCTTCACTTTTGTATTCTTCCTGGCACGCTTGCGGTGTGTGCAACAGCTGCTGGCTGGGAATATGGTTTCTAAATGTTTTCGATTAGAGTCCCCGTAAAAAACACGCGCGCTGCGGGCCTTTGTGGAAAACTCACAAACCCCGGGCAAAAGGGAACTTATAGTCCCATATAAGGAAAATTGCATGAAAGGTGAAATGTCTTCGCTAATAGTCGTGCTTTCCTGTCACATACATACACTCAGACTACGCTGTCTTCAAATTCTCGTCGCACGATTCGCCGCGTTGATCAGTGTCGCAGGACAAACGGGCAGAAAAATATAAAATATATCATGTTTAAGGCCAAAATTAAAGCCAACATTTTCTGTTTTACACTGTAAGCGAGATTAGTTAGATGGTATCGTCGGAGCTCGCGGGGAACACCGCGACAGGATTTAGACAAAAGCGCGATCAAGAGAAACAGACATTCATAACTGCAAAGTTAAATAGTGAATCAGAACTTCCTGTCGTTTTATTTTCTGTAAATTTTCTGACTGGTTCGATTTGCGTCCTCTGATTGGCTGCGAAACTGATTCGTGCAATGATTCAGTCAAGATGCAAGATTTCCCGCCAAAAAGGGGACTGTAGAGGATGGGATACACCTAGGACTTATGTGAAAATTCTACTCGTTGGGGAAATAGGACTCTTTTAGGAAAGGCCTCTAAGCCAGAACATCTGTAGTTTCCTGACCGTATGTAGGAAGCTGATCTTAAGTGGGTACGCCATTGTACAGTTTCCAATCGAAGTATAGCATGAGCATCTCCAACATTTGTCAATTCCAATTCACCACCTTCCGTGCTGTTGCAACTAGCAAACCACACTTTCATATGTGAATCAAAATTTCTCACGTTTTTTACCGAAGACCATGGTAAGAGCTCATGGCGCATGGAAAATTCAATAAAATATATTTTTTACCGCAAAGTTTCTGTGCTTCAAATTCTTAGGTAACCGCAAATGATACAGTTCCTGCACTCTAATCTGAGCAAGTTTTGTGGGTTTCTGTTACCGGGTATGTAAGTAAGTCGCCTTCCCGCCAGAATGGTTCACGACCACTTGGCAAAATTTAAAACCAGGGTCTGACACTAGCCAGCAGATACGTTGACCGCGGCTCGAACAATGCCATCTGTGTCATCTCCTGATTGGTGCTCTGTGTGGACCACACCATGCCATACCAAAAACCTCACATCACTGTTCTCAGCCCGTACTGTACATTCCCTCTGGTCATGACAATGTAACACCTTTCGCTTTCATTCTGAATGTTTCGCACATGGCTAATCTTTCCCGCGAACTGGTCGGCCGTGCGCGAGTCAGCGCGGCACTGTTTCCGACAAGGCGCGCGGCAGCGCAACACTGTTCTCGCATTCCTTCACTTTCATTCGCCAATTATTTCCCGCCTCCAGCCGGGTCAGCGGCACCTGTCCACTCACTCTGCAGCGGCCTCCCCCTCCGGCTTGCAGGGACTGGAAGGGGAGAGGACTCCTCCCGTCGCCTTGTGTGGGTTTGCATGGCGACTCCACTCGCTTTCTTCGGTTTCTTTTCGCAGACTCTCTCACCCTTCTACTTTCCTCGTAAACCCTTTCAACCACTCTCAACCCTCCCGTCCTCTCCTCCCTTCCGTCCATCTGCTTCACTTCTCCCTTCCCAATCTGTAAGCCGCTATTCCCATCTGTGAAGGAGTTTCTTTCACAATTCTCGACGTGCCCGGCAGCGTAATCTTCTGGTGTGACACGAGTTAGACTTGGTAACTCGGCCTCTTAGAGTCCATGGCTTCCTCTGCTGTGACTGCAGCCTTATTCGCACTCCTGTTGATGGTAGTAAATAACATTTAACTTCTTAATCCCGGGTTCATATTGCTCAACTCTTAAACTGACGACCACCAGCCTGATTATTCAAGTCTGCCAGGGTTACGACGGACCATCAGAGTCACTACTTTCAGGGTTACGGCGGTCGGTCGGTAATTACCAGCAGAAATAACATCGGATCGGTCTCATCAGCTCCCGTTTCATTAATTTTGTTGAAGAAACTTCGCGACGTGATTTTTTTACAGCGGTCGCTCAGATCCAGCAAGCTTCGTCCTAAGTCGTTCCACGCAGTCTGCAAGAGATGATGCAATGGTACGACGGAAGAATCGTTCAACGCAGTTGGCGACGTTACGACGGAAGAATCTCTCCGCGCCGTCCGCGGCGTGACGACAGATGCGACTCTCCATGAGTCTCTCCATGCAGTTTGCTACCGACGATGGTCGCGGCGAAGTTAAGACGAAATTTGCTCGGCGAAGTTGACGTATCCGACCTTTGAGATGCTCCAGTCGACGATGCCTGTTATCATGCTTGATGGACGAAGCCTGTTCGACGAAGCCGTTGATAGCCCCTCTTCTTCGACTCAAAAGACGACGCATGACGAAAGACGACGCTTGACGAAGTTTAGGCGGTGTTCGGCGCGACTCAAGAGACGATGCTTGACGAAGTTAAGACGGTGAAATCGGAGATTTAAGACGGCGTTCGCGACTCAAGAGACGACGCCTGACGAAGCTAAGACGGTGAAGACGGGGTTCGCGGCGAAGGCGGAACCCCTCGCGACATTTCATAACGACAATACTACCTTGTGTGCATCCCCGTCAACGACTGAGGTACAAACGTCAACCTCTTAATTTTACACCCTTGTTCTTAACACGCTTTATGCATGTTCTTCTGTATGGTTCTCTTTCCCAGTCTATGCTTGTTCTCTTAACACGTATTTTGTCTCTCTTGCCGCGGTTTTACCTGTTCAAGCAGGACAATTGCGGAGTCAAATCGCGGATTCGGACGAGACTTCCGGCGCGGCCACGCGAGAGCTGCGGATTGCGAACTTCGCGGATTGAGCTGCGCGGATCACGCGGATAGATCTGTCCGCGGCGATCTTCTGGATGCACGTGGAACGGACGGATGCAATCTACCTGTCAGGATGCTTGCTATCAAACCGGGTAACTTCTCACTCTCGCTGCTCTTCCTTACCAGATACGGAATTGCTAATTCCTCCTCTACTCCGTCGTTTATTCCGATTCTTTTTCCGTGTATCTGGGTCTGCGTTTCGTGGCGATTCCGTATCTCACTTGTTGCTATTTGCACTATCTGGACATTTCCGTTTTCTGTTTTGAGGCGTCTCACTCGTTGCTTCTTGCAGTATCTGGCTCAATACGTTTCTCACTCGTTGCAAATTGCGCTGTCTCTCTCGCAGGAGTGGGTTCTGCTGTGAAATGTTGCGTCCCAAGAACTGGCGTGGAGCATCGTGGCGCATCTTGAGCATGCGGCGGGAGCAACGTGTGGAGCATCATGGAGCATCTTGAGCCACGGAGCATCTTGAGCCACGGAGCATGGAGCATGCGTGAAGCGTGGAGCGACGCGTGGAGAAGCGTGGAGAATCATGGAGCATGCGGGAGCCACGTGTGGAGCAGCGTGGTGCAGCGTGATGCAGTGTGAAGAACCTTCTCATTCTCCCCCTCCTTCTTCTCCTCCTCCTCCTCCTCCTCCTCCTCCTCCTCCTCCTCCTCCTCCTCCTCCTCCTCCTCCTCCTCCGCCTCCTCCTCCTGCCCCTCCTCCTTTCTCCACCTCCCCCCACCTTCGGATTCCTTCTCACTCCTGATGCTGCTGGGGGTGCGGAGGAGAGGAGAGGAGCCTGGCTGATCTGGTCCTGGCGCTGCTGGGGGTGCGGAGGAGAGGAGAGGAGCCTGGCTGATCTGGTCCTGGCGCTGCTGGGGGTGCGGAGGAGAGGAAAGGAGCCTGGCTGATCTGGTCCTGGCGCTGCTGGGGGTGCGGAGGAGAGGAGAGGAGCCTGGCTGATCTGGTCCTGGCGCTGCTGGGGGTGCGGAGGAGAGGAGAGGAGCCTGGCTGATCTGGTCCTGGCGCTGCTGGGGGTGCGGAGGAGAGGAGAGGAGCCTGGCTGATCTGGTCCTGGCGCTGCTGGGGGTGCGGAGGAGAGGAGAGGAGCCTGGCTGATCTGGTCCTGGCGCTGCTGGGGGTGCGGAGGAGAGGAGAGGAGCCTGGCTGATCTGGTCCTGGCGCTGCTGGGGGTGCGGAGGAGAAGAGAGGAGCCTGGCTGATCTGGTCCTGGCGCTGCTGGGGTGCGGAGGAGAGGAGAGGAGCCTGGCTGATCTGGTCCTGGCGCTGCTGGGGGTGCGGAGGAGAGGAAAGGAGCCTGGCTGATCTGGTCCTGGCGCTGCTGATCTGATCCTAGCGCGGAGGAGAGGAGCCGTGGAGCATCAAGGCATCACTGGCATCTCGCAACTGGGAAGCAAAGCAACTGGGAAGTGTCTTTCCCCTCGCCTTCCCTTCTCGTCATTCTCCATTCGTTTCGTTTCGTCATTCCGTGTTTTCCGCACCTCGTTCTTCACTCCCATCGTCCTGCATTTCGCGTTTATGCACGTCCCTCTGATACGTTCGGCTGCAGCCTAGTAGATGTCCTCCGCGGGTTTTGGGTAGCATAGATTTTGGGTTGGGTAGCATAGAGTTTGGGTTTTGGGTAGCATAGCTCCTCCCTCTGCTAGCTGCAGCCGGCGTATCATGGACGTGCATCCATCCCACCACCCACCTCGTTTCCACGTGTTGTTCTCCGCTCTCAATTCGCGCACTTCGTTTCCACATTTGATTCCTTGTGTTTGTATTGCATTCTTTTCCATTTCGCAGTTCTGCTTACTGACTTCGTGCATCTGTCTGTGTGTTCCCTCCCCCCGTTTTTCAGCAATCATGGGTTCTTCACTCCAGATCGGTTCTTCACTCAAGGATGTGCCGAGCGGAGGAGCAGAGGAGCCTGCAGAGGACGGCAGTATTGACTCGGGAGGACGGCAGCAGTGAGAGGGAGAAGCGAGCGGTGGGATGACGCACGGCCGGCAGCCACACGGCTGCCTCCTACCCGCCCTGCTGACCACCCGCTCTGCTCGAGGCGGACGCTTCGGGCAAGGCGCGGAGGCAAGGAGGCGGCACAGCAGAGGTGTAGAGCGGTGTGGAATGGTATGGTGCGGCATGACGAGGAGGCGGACACTTCAGGCAACGAGCCGGCGCGGACGCAAGGAGGCGGCACTTCAGCAGAGGTGTAGTGCGGTGTGGAATGGTATGGTGAGGTATGAGGAGGAGGCGGCCACTTCGGGCAACGAGCCGGCGCGGAGGCAAGGAGGCGGCACTTCAGCAGAGGTGTAGTGCGGTGTGGAATGGTATGGTGAGGTATGAGGAGGAGGCGGACACTTCGGGCAACGAGCCGGCGCGGAGGTAAGGAGGCGGCACTTCAGCAGAGGTGTAGTGCGGTGTGGCACTTGAGGTGAGGAGGCAAGGAGAGGCGGCACTTCACTCAACATGGCTTCTTGACTCAACATGGCTTCTTCACTCAAGATCGGAGCCGCCTGCAGAGGAGCAGGTGTAGTGCTGTGTGGTCTGGTATGGTGTGGTCTGGGATGGTGTGGTCAGGAGGCGGCACTTCAGTCGAGGAGGTGGCACTTCAGTCGAGTAGGCGCCACTTCAGTCGAGGAGGCGGCACGTCCGGCAAGGGGTGAGGCGGAGGAACGTGAGGGAGTGGTTGATGGGTTGGACGAGGGGATGCATGACTGGGATGCTGTTGGAATGAGAAACGGAGAGTAGCGGTGTGAATGTGAGGCAGAGAGGGTGGGGCCCCCTCTCGTAAGTCCTCACGGCGGCCCCGCCCATCGCTGCTCCACGTCCTCATTCCTCAGCACTGCCCTCCACGCACCTCCTCTTCCAGCTTTGACGCCCAACCTGACCTGCACTCCGTCCTCTGGTTTTGGTGTGGAGTGGTGTGGAGTGGTGTGGAGTGGTGTGGTGTGGTGTGGTGTGGCAGCAAGGAGGGGGGAGCGGCAGCATGGAGGTGAGCATTCGAGGAGGCGGCACTTCAGGTGAGCATTCGAGGAGGCGGCACTTCAGGTGAGCATTCGAGGAGGCAGTCTACACCGTCACCGACATGTAAGTCTCTGGTTTGGCAGGTCGGCGGGGGAGCAGCAGCTTGGAGGGTCAACACCATCTCCGACATTGTAAGTCGCATTTGTGTTTTGCATTTGTTTGTTTTTCTTAACGTGTGATGTTGCTTGTTTCAGTCCCCAAGCCGGCGCTCCAGTTTCCAGGAGCAGTCGCCTCTGCTTTTCTCTGGTAAGCCTCCTCTTCTAGCCTTTATTCATTTTGCATCGACTCTGTATTCGTTGCCGTTTTTCGGTTTCCGTGAGCTCAGTTTCCCTACTTTCCTTCTTCTTTCTGTCTTGACTCTCTTTTCTGAATTCTGTTTGCCTTGAAACGGCTTGTCCTGATTCTGTTTCCCGTGTTCTGTTTGTCCCGTTCTCTTTGCCTGGTTTGTCCAGAGGAGAAGAGGAGGGCGAGGAGGGGAGGAGGAGCGCGGAACAGAAGCACTAGTTTCTTCTCTTCTCTGGTAACTAACCCTCGTCGCTTGCTATACTTCTGTTTCCGTGAGCTCGGATTGCCTATCTTCCATCCTTGACTCTCTTTTCTGAATTCTGTTTGCCTTGAAACGGCTTGCCCTGATTCTGTTTCCCTTGTTCTGTTTGTCCCGTTCTCTTTGCCTGGTTTGTCCAGAGGAGAAGAGGAGGGCTAGGAGGGGAGGAGGAGCGCGGAACAGAAGCACTAGTTTCTTCTCTTCTCTGGTAACTAACCCTCGTCGCTTGCTATACTTCTGTTTCCGTGAGCTCGGATTGCCTATCTTCCATCCTTGACTCTCTTTTCTGAATTCTGTTTGCCTTGAAACGGCTTGCCCTGATTCTGTTTGCCTTGTTCTGTTTGTCCCGTTCTCTTTGCCTGGTTTGTCCAGAGGAGAAGAGGAGGGCTAGGAGGAGAGGAGGAGCGGCGGAACAGAAGCATTCGTCTCTTCTCTTCTCTGGTAAGTAACCCTCTTCGCTTGCCATACTTCTGTTTCCATGAGCTCGGTTTGCCTATCTTCCTGCCTTGACTCTGTTTTCCGAATTCTGTTTGCCTTGAAGTGGCTTGCCCTGACTCTGTTTCCCTTGTTCTGTTTGTCCCGTTTTCTTTGCCTGGTTTGTCCAGAGGAGAAGAGGAGGGCGAGGAGGAGAGGAGGAGCGGCGGAACAGAAGCATTCGTCTCTTCTCTTGTCTGGTAACTAACCCTCTTCGCTTGCTATACTTCTGTTTCCGTGAGCTCGGTTTGCCTATCTTCCTGCCTTGACTCTCTTTTCTGAATTCTGTTTGCCTTGAACCGGCTTGCCCTGATTCTGTTTCCCTTGTTCTGTTTGTCCCGTTCTCTTTGCCTGTTTGTCCAGAGGAGAAGAGGAGGGCGAGGAGGGGAGGAGGAGCGGCGGAACAGAAGCATCCATCTCTTCTCTTCTCTGGTAACTAACCCTCGTCGCTTGCCATACTTCTGTTTCCGTGAGGTTGGTTTGCCTATCTTCCTGTCTTGACTCTCTTTTCTTCTGTTTGCCTTTATATGGCTTGCCCTGACTCTGTTTCCCTTGTTCTGTTTGTCCCGTTTTCTTTGCCTGGTTTTTCCAGAGGAGAAGAGGAGGGCGAGGAGGAGAGGAGGAGCGGCGGAACAGAAGCATTTGTCTCTTCTCTTCTCTGGTAACTAACCCTCTTCGCTTGCTATACTTCTGTTTCCGTGAGCTCGGTTTGCCTATCTTCCTGCCTTGACTCTCTTTTCCGATTTCTGTTTGCCTTGAAACGGCTTGCCCTGATGCTTTGTGTGTTGACCTTGTTGCAGGCACGACCAAGACAGGTGGGCTCTCATCACTCTCGGTAAGATGTGTTTCTGGTCGTGTTTCGCGGAGGAGCCAGCAGGGGAGCGGTGCAGCCGTCGGACTGTAAGTGGGGGGTAGGGGCAGTTGCCCTGAGGCAAGCGGGCAGAGGCCCGGAGTGGTGAGGTTCATGATGCCATGTTTGCAGCGGCTGTGGTTGTGCCTACCAACGTAGGCACAACAAGCGGCATACAGTGTGTTGTGTTGTGTTGTGTTGTGGCGTGGTGTGGTGTTGAGTGGTATGGTGTGGTGTGGTGTGGAGTGGAGTGGTGTGGTGTGGTGTGGTGTGTTGTTACCTTTTTTCCCCCCTCTCTCTCTCCCCTCTCTTCCCTCCCTCCCTCCCCCCACCCCCTCCCCCCAACAGGTGTCCTAAGCGAAAGCCCCCACCTCACCGTGGTGCTTAGGTGTAACGCAGGGGGCTTGTTTTTCTACGGCCAAGAGGGGTCCAACATTCCGAGCTCGCGGACAGTGGAGCAGCGCCTCAGAGCTCGTGCACAGTGGAGCAGCACCCCGTAGCAATTGCGATGCAATTTTTAAATTATGATTGCTACGGTACCTTTTAGGGCTGGCTTTCACTGAAATTAAACTAATGATACCTACAACAGACATTATGGTACGGTACAGTAACATCATAGTAATTATAATTTGGAAACTATTGCAATCGGTGAAGCCCCGGGGCTCACATTCAGGATATTTACATCCTAGCAGTAGCTAGAGATTTACTAATGGCGCATGCAGTTTCAACTAGACAATCACAAGACCCACTGCACGTAGAGTCACTGTCCTTGAGAGGGCATGGGTATGTATGCTTCATCCTGCGAGCTTCCACGTCATACCTTCAATGTTTTCTGACTCAAACGATACCGGTATTTTTGGGCCGAGTGAATCTGCTGCATCCTGACTAAAATGAAAGGGTGGTTGGCAATGGCAAGCAATCATCGAAACTCTCTACCCCTAAACACTAAGGGAGCAATGAGCGTCCACAAATTCCAAAGCAGATACGGTAACCACAGTAAAGCCATCTTGATCCGGGTGCTAATCCAACCAGCATCAATGCTCCACTCAACCGGGGTTTGATTCATATTCCACCAGTAATATCATAGCCTTGTATATTGAATAGGTAAGGAACAGGAGATGTAAGAAACTGTAGCCAGGGCACCTCTCCGTTACCAGAGAATTCGTCGTCTGGACAACCAGGCCGGAAGGGACAAGCTGCAAGAGTTGATGCCAGTGGCATAATCCCGTGAAGCAACGGGAGTTGATGCCAATGCAGACTGAGATGGCAATGCTGACACTTTGAATGCCTAAGTGTCACGAAGAGAGTGAGGGTGGGGGAGGAGAACGTAGGACAAGTACCAGATTAATGAGTAAACTAAAAAAACAAGATGTGGGAAGCAGCGAGAGTGGATGCCAGTGGCATAGACTGAGATGGCAATGCTGATGAGCGCCACTATGAACGCCTGAGAGGCATGGGCGGGCGGGATGGGAGAATGAAGAAAATTGAGAAACGAGAACGAAGGCATAAGACCAAGTTGCGGCATATGGTGCTTGTCGGCTCCTGTGAGTATGCATGTGGATGTAAAATTAATGATATTGTAAAAAGTGTACAAGAGTGATCAGAAATGTGTGGCATGGACTGAGATGGCTATGCTCATGGGCGCCTCTATGCATGCCTGAGTGGCTCAGGTGGGATGGGAAAGAACTTGAAGAATAAGTACCAGTTTGTCAGAGACAAAAAAAATATCGTCTACTGGTGGATGTATGCATGTCATTCGATCAAATCCAAAACAACGGCGGAAACATAGCAACATGAGGTGTTCTCACCAGAATGTCGAGCCATCCGCCGTATCCGGTCTGGCGAGGGCGAGTATTGCACGCCTCAGAGGGCGGCTCATTCATTATTGCCGACCATCGGAGGGAGACAAAATACATCGCCATGACGCCTGTGGTGAGAGGGCCTGCGTCCACCTGCATGGACACAGTGCGCATTGGTTACTGTCATTTAGCATCACTTGATTGACATATCAATGCAGTGTAACGGTATTTTTGGAAGTAAATATATTTTGCATCATGTTTGCATCATGTGATTGACCTACCAATGCAGCATCGGGCTATGAAGCACCAGGCAAGCACACCCAGGGATAAACAGAAATGGTGTTGAGAACCGTGGAAGGATTATGAGAAGGTGAGCCTCGGATCTGGGAAGGACGGCTCACCTTGGGATGGACGGAGATGGCGGTGAGAACGACGACGAGCTCGAGGAGGAAGGTGATGAAGAAGATGTTGGGCGAGCTGGAGGAGGCGGGCGCGAAGTAGATTTAGATGAGGATGATGCCTGTGAGGAAGAGCAGGTAGCACACGACTGACACCACCGCCATCCATATGTGCCTGCATGCATGCCATGCATGCATGAGTGGGTGATGTACGCACATGTATACATGAACATACACATGTATGCATGCATATTGTCTTCTATGCATATCTGCACATCTACATGACAAAAGATGAGCGGACATTCAACAGCAGCAAAGCGAATGGAACGGCCGAGAAGTCAGCGAAGGTTCTCACACCTTGTTGTTGTTGAGCCAAGAGTCATCCCAGACGTAGATGAAGTTGATGATGCTCACTAGCGGAATCACCAAAAACACTGCTGCTCTCGCTATCACCACCTCGCTGCATACCTGTAACACCTCTGGTCAGGTGCTGTTCCAGGTACACCTGAAACACCTCTGGTCAGGTGCTGTTCCAGGTACACCTGAAACACCTCTGGTCAGGTGCTGTTCCAGGTACACCTGAAACACATCTGGTCAGGTGCTGTTCCAGGTACACCTGAAACACCAGGTGCTTCGTGTACCGTGAGAAGGCCGAGAGGAAGTGCTTCACAGGAGTGCGGGACGCAGGAGGGTGAGAGGCAGGAGCAGAGAGAGGGGGAGGGGGGGGTATGACCAGCAGAGGTGGATTCGTGCGTCGTGTAAAGTGAGAAGGCCGAACAGTGCTTTGCTCGTCAGCGTGAGAGACTTAGTGAAAGGCTGAGAGTGAAAGGCTGAGGACATCGTTAGCGTGGCGGGACGAAAGGGAACGACGAAACGAAATGTGCTTTTCTTCGCAATGCTAGGATACAGGAACGTTGCTACCACCACAGCATTCCAATAAATGAATCACTATGATTAGCTCCGAATGTAGTGTACGGAATGCACTCACTGTAGAGACTGTACAGTGCATCAGTGGCGTAGTCTCTAAGAACCCACGCGACAGCAACGGAAGCAAGGAAATTCCTCCATATAAGAACTTCGCCGCGACGAGCGACAGGCCGAAGGAGCAGCAGGAGCAGAGGCAGTGACCCAAGGCGATACTAGCGAGAGCACCTCAGCAGCCGGTGCAGAATCCGATGCATATCGTGCCTCGTCCTTAATTAGTGCTCCTGATGCTGATCGCTGATCGCTGCTGATGGCTTGATCCTGATCGTCGATCGCTTATCTCTGATCGACGGTCTTGATCGGCTCGCTTTGGACGATCGGCTCTCTTAGCTATGACGCTCCATCCAGCAAAGAGTCGTCATTGAGTTGATTGATGCATTCCTGACGCTGATCATGGTGTTGACCGTTGTCAATGCGTTGGTTAAATCAGCATTTTCGCGAATGCGCGTTTGCCACGCAATATTGCTGAGTTCGAATGTAACCCATGAACAAGGTAGTTTGCCTGATGACTACTAACAAGTTTCTGACGAAAGAACGCTCGTTCTTACTCTCACTCTCACTCTCCCCTCATGGAATGCCTGACTGGGCGGATCTTATCGAGCAAGTTTGAGCGCTGATTGCCATCCCGCTTGCCGCTTCCTCGCTCAGGTGAAATAGTAGATCAGTTAGCAGAGTTAGTATAATACGAATACAGTTAGCTCCAGTGTGCTCTTGTGCTGCGTGAATGTGCTGCGTGGATTTCCAGTCGATGCTGTGTGGGTCTACCATCAGTTCAGCTCCAGAACAAAATGGTACCAAAGAAAAAGGCTTCGGAAGCTTTAGAGGACAAGCATGCCAACTTTCCAGGAAGAATTTAAGTTCTTGACAACACATACAGCCCAGCTGGAAAATGGGTCTAGGAGGGGAAACGAGTCTGTAAAAAACGAGTACAATTTGTCACAAACTTTGCACGGAATCATGCACCCCCAAGATGCGACGTGGAATTTCTAATGTTCGCCAGCAGAGGAACTATGGCTGCCAGCCCAGCTTCGAACCGCATTCCGGCAATCAGATTGACTCGTAGGCGGATTCGGACAGAAGCGAAGCGATGTCGTCATGACCACGCACGCAGTGGCCGCGTTTCGATTTCTCCCGAGCATCGTAACAATCGCATTTCCCTACCTATCCTGCTTGTCATGGCTTCCAAGTACGAGAAGGCGCAGGAGGTCAGAGAGGCTTCAGCAGAAGAGAAAAAGGTGATTCATTATGAATTTTATTGCCCTGCAACCCGCGAAGGATCGTTCACCGGGTCTGGTGAGGGCTTGGCTTGGACTGATCCGGATTTCTCCCGCGTCTGATGCTCTTATTGCACGGCAGGAGCTGGAGGGGCGCGTGAAGGAAGGCGAGACGGTGGTGGAGGGGGGAACTGGCGGCAAGTCCCTGGAAGCTCAAATCAACCTGGCTCAAGGTGAGGCATGAGGGACTCTTTTTGGTCTGAAAGGTGGACCATGCCTTTTGCTTCATATCTCGAGCACAGCCTGTAGCATACGAGGTGTTGAACGACTGTATGCTCTCTGGTGTGTGGTCAGGGAGGAGCAAGGGAGGGCAGTCGACGATGGAGAAGAGTGGCGATGAGGCCCTGCAGTCCAGAGGCGTTGACACTAGCAAGTGATGCTGAAGCTACCAGAGGATGCAGAGCGTTGTAAAGAGCATGGCTTGGCCATCTTTTGAGTGAATCTCTAGTGGCAGTTCATACTCTTTGGTGTACAGCAACATGGCTTGATGAAAGGATGTACACAACTCTAATTGACCAGTTTTTTAGACAACCTGACTATGCAGCTATGCCTTCACAATCGACTCCCACTTTCTGGGCAAACGGTCCACAGTCCACCCAGCTGCTGCTGAATTGTCCACCACACAGCCTCCTCTCTGATCCTGTCCTCTCTGATTCATTCACAATCAGCTAACTTTCCTCGGCTGATTAACCAGTCCACCCAACTGCTGCAACATTCTCCACCACACATCCTCCTTTCCTCCCCGCACATCCTTTCATTCACAATCAGCTCACTTTTCTCGGCAGACTAACAACAGTCCACCCAGCTGCTGCAGCATTCTCCACCACACATCCACCTCTCAGCTCCACTCCACCTTCCCGTCCCACCATCTCTTCACCTCCCTCCTCTCCCTGCCAACCCCCACTCTCCCCACCAATCGCTGCACTGGGGTCAACAACACTACCTATGGCACCGACAGGGTGATCGGATCGACCAGTGACAGCAGGGGTAAGCTCTGAGCGAGCCGCTGGAGCAAGCTCCGAGCGAGCAGAGGCAGGGAGGGGGAGGATGCGGATGCGGCGGGTGGCAGAAGAGCCAGCGTACTGCCAGGAGAGGGGGTAGTCGTTGATGAGCTGCAGCTGCAGGGAGAGGATGCGCGGGGCGCGTGGTAGCAGGTCCACTGCTTGTGCTGCGCTCCCCATCATGCTCTCTGCTGCCATGCGCGCCTCCTGGGGGTTGGATGGAACCACAGGCACAGGCGGGTAGGACGGAAAGGCAGAGAAGACGAAGAAGAGAGTCACAAAGAAGAGAGTCACAAATGGCCTGTCCTTGGACAAGACATGCTCTCTCTGTGCTGCCATTAGATAGGAGGGTCATGAGGGGTGGGAAAGGAAGAGAGGGCATCACGAATCACTGACGAGCACTGTACTTGTCTGGTGCACACGAGTTGCGGAAGCGCTGGGCACGGTGGAGTGCCTTTGGCCCACCGCAGTCAGCAGCACCGTCACCCCATGGCCCTCACCTCAAGTGCATCAATCCCATCCTATTGCGCTCACCTCCCATCCCATGGCACTCACCTCAAGCGCATCAATTTCGTCCTCCAATGAACCTCCGTGAGCCCCTCTCATCGTCTCCTCATCCTCTCCAACCCCACCCACCCAACTGTCGCCGCTGCTGCTGCGACCGCCACCCTTGCTGCTCTCATCTTGCAAGGTTGAGAGTTGGTTGGGCGGTGTGGCTGACGCAGTAGCAACGCCAGGAAGGGGCGCGTCGCGAGAAAGAGTAGCAGCGGGTGAAGAGAGAGGCGTGGAGGTGGAGAACGAGGAAGTGGAGGGAGGAGGAGAGGCGAGGGTGGGGAGGTTGAGGATGGCACGAAGGGCCCGCACCACCTGAGATGCTGTGTTGGCCTGGGGAGGGACACACAGCATGGGGGGGGAACGCGGTGAGCATGTGGGGAGAGAGAGGCGAGTGACAGCATTGTGAGAACACGCTGAAAAATGATATGCAGGGACAGGGGTTCGGATGGATGTGCTGGGAATGAGTACAGTGAAGCATGCTTTGCGTGAGTCAAATAGTCATAGATAGGTGGGTGTGGCACCTTGATGGCATAGATGTGACACTTGTTGAACCTGCCCCACCCCTCGCCCGAGCCCACCTTAACAGCATAGATGGGGAGGTGGCGGAACTTGGCCACCCCTCACAGCCACGCGTTGCCTTTGAGTTTGGAGCGCAGCGCCAGCACCTCTCGACCCTGCCTCACCCCTCTCGACCGTGCCCGCACCCCTCCCTGCAGCCCACCTTAACAGCGTAGATGGGGAGGTGGCGGAACTTAGCCACCCCGCGCAGCCACGCGTTGCCCTTGAGCTTGGAGCGCAGTGCCAGCACGGCGTCTGCTGCTGCAATGTCCGTGGTGAGCGTGATGAGTGGCGCCAACCCCATCACCTCCACCACCTGCTCCACATGCTCCTCTGATACCTGCGCGCAGGGGAACCACGGCAGAGAAGAGAAGTGAATTTGCAGTGAGATTATTCCAGTGAGCAGTGCCAAGAGGGATGCCAGCCCCATCACCTCCACCACCTGCTCCACATGCTCCTCTGATACCTGCGCGCAGGGGAACCACGGCAGAGAAGAGAAGTGAATTTGCAGTGAGATTATTCCAGTGAGCAGTGCCAAGAGGGATGCCAGCCCCATCACCTCCACCACCTGCTCCACATGCTCCTCTGATACCTGCTCACAGGAGAAACACACCAAGGAGAGTAGTGGTTTTCAAGTCTGATTCAAAAAACTAGTGGTAGGGTTGTGGCAGTCAGTCATGCGATGAGTAGCCCCAGCCCCATCACCTCCGCAACCTGCTCCACATGCTCCTCTGATGCTGATGCTGATGCTGACGCTGACGCTGACGCTGATGCTGACGCTGATGCTGATGCTGATGCTGATGCTGACGCTGACGCTGATGCTGACGCTGATGCTGATGCTGATGCTGATGCTGATGCTGATGCTGATGCTGATGCTGATGCTGATGCTGATGCTGATACTGATGCTGATGCTGATGCTGATACTGATGCTGATGCTGATGCTGATTCTGATGCACATGCTGATGCTGATGCTGATGCTGATACTGATGCTGATGCTGATGCTGATACTGATGCTGATGCTGATGCGATACTGATGCTGATGCTGATGCTGATGCTGATGCTGATGCTGATACTGATGCTGATGCTGATGGCGCTGGTGTGAGGTGATGCGCACACAACAGGCCCACACCTGGTAGAGGAAGAGCAGGGTTGAGTTGTCGGAACGAGTGGCCTGGGCGAACGCCGAGAGGCCAGCAGGCGCCCCCCCTTGAGACCAGGATGCTGATGCTGATGCTGATGGTGATGATGCGGAGATGGATGCAGAGCTGCTAGTCGTGCCGGCAGCAGTGCTGGTTGATCTGCTGGCCATGCCACCCCACCACATGGCAGACCTCCCCCACTGCTCACCACCACCACCATCACCATCAGTATCACTACCACCACCATCGCCATAAACATCAACATCGCTGCCCTCACTGTCGCTGCCGCTGCTCTCCCCGCTGCTGCCACCGTTAGAAGCAAAGCCCAAGGGAGTGGCGGAGGGAGAGGCAGAGGGAGAGGAGGAGGGAGAGGCTGAGGGTGATGGTGCATGGGAGGGCCGTGCGGGACTGCCTCTCTCTCTTTGCCTGCCACCGCCCTCCCTGGGCTGCGCTGCGTCCCACTCCCTCACACCCATCGCTCCCACTGCTCCCTCGCTTCCTAGACTCTGCCACCCCTGCTCGTCCCACGAACCGGCTCGCGAGATACTGCTGTCGCCGTTGCTGCTGCGGCCACCGACAGGGATACCGCCACTGCTGCTGCTGCCGCCTCTGCCGGTGCTAACAGCATCGCCATCCACCCACACCTCCCCGTGCTGCCCCATCTCCCGTACCTCCACCTGCGGTGCCTTGCCTGTGAGGAAACCATGGGGGCAGTGGCGTGGCGAGCACACGGGAGGGAAGGAGAGGATGGGAGAAGGGAGGCCGAAAGTGAGGGTTGTGAGACAGATGGCTTGATAGGATCAGTTTGAGGAGGGATGTGCGAGTCCGTACCCACTCCAAGGCCCGGGGGTGAGTCAGAATCATTTCCCCCCTTGTCCCCAAGGACAATAGGCCATTTCAAATGAGCAGTGAATCACCTGAGAGCAGCGGCGAATCACCTGAGAGCAGCGGCGAATCACCTGAGAGCAGCGGCGAATCACCTGAGAGCAGAGCGTCAACAATGGCAGCAAGGCAGCGGTGCACGGTCCAGTGGCCATGTGCATCTCACCTGCTGCTCGGAACAACCTTTGAAACGACTTGTCTCTAGAAGGATGAATCACCTGAGAGCAGAGCATCGACAGTGGCAGCAAGGTTGCGGTGCACAGACCATCTGCCGCGCGAGTGCATCTCCACTGCCGCTTGGAACACGGGCGGGCCTCCCCTCTCCATCACACTCTTCTGCACTCCCCTCCTCCTCGCCTCCTCGTCTCCCAGCGTCACTGTCTGCACGCAGGAGAGAGGGAAAGGATCGGGAGGGGGAGTGTAGGTGAGGGAGTGAGAGAAGGACCTCTGTTGCACTACTTGCACCCCTCTCCACCCACCCACACGCCCCCTGTCAGCTAGGGCAGGTGCCGGTTCTCCACCTGCACCCCTCTGCACCCACCTGCACGCCCCCTGCGAGGGTGTGAGGGTTCTTGACAAGGTTCTCCACAGTGCAGTTTCCAAGGTGCCTATCCTCTGCACCCCCATCTATACCCCTTTCGTACATGCACACCCCCTGCCAGTGTGTGCAAGTGCGGGTCCTTGACCAGGTTCTTAATAGAACGGCACGGCGTGAGCCATGGCAACGAGCTGCTCGCCCCGCTGCGCTATGGGGCCGCCGTTGCCGCCCCCCCATCCCCACCTGCACGCCTCTGCTGTTCCCCCATCTATACCCCCCCTCCCCGCTGCACCCACCCACCTGCACCCCTCTGCACCCACCTGCACGCCCCCTGCCAGTGTGTGCAGGTGCGGGTTCTTGACCAGGTTCTCCACAGAGCGACCATGAGCCGTGGCAATGAGCTGCACGCCCCGCTGTGCTATCGTGGCCGCTGCTGCCGCCTCCAGCTCCGACCCGATCTCATCGATTATCACCACCTGCGGCATGTGATTCTCCACCGCCTCTATCATCACCTGGTGTACCGGGCATGGTGCAGGAGGGCATGGTGCAGGAGGGCATGGTGCAGGAGGGGAGGGGAGGGGGGTGTGGGATGTGGCAATGCCAATGTCTCATTCTTCAGGCCGTCCCATCCCATCGCTTATCTATCACCACCTCTCTGTCACAGAGAGGAGCAGGGGGTGGTGGGAAGCGGGAGGTGTATGGGGGAGGCGAAAGTATGTTAATGACTCGCCGTACTCACACCATTCTATCATAACCTGATAGAAGTGAGGGGTGGTTGTGGCAAGGAAAGAGCGGAGCATGTGGCACATGGTATGACGCACACACACTCGCTCACCTGGTGCTGTAGTTCCACGTGCGGCACTAGCATGCGCCGCGCTGATCCGATGGCGGCATGGGTGATGTCCCCGTCGCCTGCGATCTCCACTGCCGAGCATGTGGCACAAACAAGGTTCTCCACTGCCCATGCTGTTACACACACTCTCACCCACCTGGTGCTGCAGTTCCACATGCGGCACTTGCATGCGCCATGCTGATCCAATGGCAGCATGGGCGATGTCCCCATCGCTCTCGTTGCTTGTATCCACCTGCTGCTACCACCCACCCAATGCTCCCAAGGCTGCCCACCTGGTGCTGCAGCTCCACATGCGGCACTTGCATGCGCCGTGCTGATCCAATGGCGGCATGGGCAATGTCCCCATCGCCTGCGATCTCGTTGCTCGTATCCACCACCACTACCCTCCGTGCGCACTCGTCCGCTAGTATTCGCGCCACCTCCCTGCACGAGGGGTATGGAGCAGGGAGAGGTATGGGATGTAAGGTGAGGGGCATGGGTCACGGGTGCTCTTCCCAGACCTCATAGCCGTGCTCTCCCCCGTTACCTAATGGCCGTGGTCTTCCCCACGCCCTGTGCGCCCATGAGCAGCACAAACTCCCTCCCCGCCTCCCTTTTCAACATCCCCCCCCCTCCCCCATTACCTGATAGCGGTGGTCTTCCCCACGCCCGGCGCGCCCATGAGCAGCACGGACTCCCCGCCCGCCACCAGGTCGCGCACCATCTCCGCGCTGCCCGAAATCGCGCGCCCCACGCGGCACGTCAGCCCGATGATCCTCCCCGCGCGGTTGCGGATGGCGCTGATGCGGTGCAGCGTGCGGTCTATCCCCGCGCGGTTGTCCGCTCCGAACTCCCCAACCTGCGCGGAGCGGAAGGGCGGCGAGAGGGAAGGGGGGGGGAGGGAATGGGGGGAGGAGGTGACGAGGGGAGAAGGCAGGGGAAACGGGAAAGGAAGTGGATGAGATGGAGAGTGACGACGCGCACTGAAGAAGGGGTATGCGGGCGGTGGCGAGGTGAGTGGCGCTTGCACGGAGGGAGCTTGCAATGAGCATGCGGTGTGAGAGCTGGCGAGGGAAAGCGAAGAGTGCGGAGAGGGAAATAATGAAGGATGTTACCTGTGACACGCAGTATTCAATGTCGCCCGCTGTTACCACGTCGTCGCACACGAAAACGTCGCCCACGGGGAACCGTGCGACGGGCCGACGGCCGAGATCGAGAACGACCTCCACCAGCGAATGGACGGCCGGATGCCGCTGCAAAACGTCTCGAACCTTCTCCGGAAGCATCGTCAGAAGCTTCGTCAGCTCCTCCCCGAAGCCCTCGGCCGGCGGAAAATCTAGAACGGCGCGCGGCGTCGGATCAGGGAGGGACGGCCGTGGGGAGAGATCTGGGCCATCCGTATCGCTGGCGGAAGCGGAGGAGGCGGAGATCGCACGGACGCGCGAGAGTGGCGGGCGGAACGATACGAGGCAGGACACGCTAGGGGAATCGCGCGCGCCGGGTGAAAACAGAGCGGCAGTGGGAATGGGCGGCGAGGTAGAACTGGGTCGGCAACTGGGAGGCGAGCGACGATCGGCAATACCGAGGCAGCGCGAGGCGCCATTCTCCGCAGCAGGCGAGAGCGCGCGGGCGAGCAAATCGGTGGTAACGCCGGCGCTCCACGCGGCCATGGTCGGAGGAATGCGGGGAGCAGTGGGGAGGCGAGGCGGGTGGAATGCCGCTGCGACTAGCAGTGGTGCACAGCGCGCGGCACGATTGCGGTGCGTAAAGCGGGTGGCGTTCTGCAGGCGATCATGCCGTGCGTAATAGAGGCACTTTTTAACTCTAATTCCCTAATGCTACTCGACGGAACAGAGTGCTGAGTACAGACACAGAACCAGGAGGAGGTTAGTGCTTATACGAGTGCCACGCTTCGTGGCTGTCTCGCGACCACGTCACATTCCAAAGGAGTTTCACATTTGGTTGATAAAATGTATTGTGACGCGGGTTGTGTAGGGTGATTGAATAAAACGCTGGTTGTTTTCTCAATGACGCGTACAAATCTCCGAGTCAAACCGGGTCCCCCACCAGCGCTTCCAGAAGGTGCTTCTCCAAGCCAAGGCAATCCCAAAGCTCCAGACTTCACAGATTCCAGAAGCAAATACCGTCGTTTCCCGCCAAGCGTACTCCCCCCATCCTGTCAATGCATCCATCTCACTCGCGGCCTGCATTCATCTCTCACTCACCACTGCTTGTCCTCATCACGTTCGCCCACCGATTAGACTGCTACTGCCATCGCAGCTTTCGCCTTTGTCGCTGATCGATCATTGCGACCGCATTAACCTGTTCACGACTGCGATAGTCGCGGTCGCCGTGTGAGTTGTCGCACTCATGGTCGCAGCCATGGCGGCTCGCCGTCGAATCGCCATGTCGCCGAAGCTGCTAGCCGCGCTCGCCGTCGCGGTGCGCCTCGTCGCTCTCGCCGCCGCCATGTTCGCGCCGGACGGGTAAATCGCCGCCTAGTCATCCCAATCGCATGCGCGCATCGCTTGAAACGCGCGTATCGGCTGAAAAGCGCGCATCTGTTGAAATGAGCGGACTAATCCCGACGCGCGAATGCGACTCTGGCTCGTTGCTGTCTTGGCCACCATCCCTCTCCGTCGCTCGTCTCTGCTCATTCTTGCCATACCCCCTCACATCCCCCCATATAACGCCATGCGCCCCGCACTGTCCCCGTGCCCATTCCCCGCTCTCTCCCCTCCGCCCGTCTGTGGGCAGCAACGTGGCATCGCTGGACTCGGAGAGTTTCGCCTCCCAAGTGCTCGGTCAACCCGCCGTCTGGCTCGTACGCCCCTCTTCCCATCGCCTCTCCTCACCCCTCCCACCCCTCCTCGCCCCTCCTCGCCCCTCCTCGCCCCTCCTCTCCTCTTTCCTCCTCTTCTCTTCTCTTCTCTCCTCTCCTCTCCACTCCTCTTCGCTGCACCATGCCGGGATAGCGTTGCTTTCGGGACTCCATTGCCTCTGTGACCCTCTCCACCACTCACGCTCATCCCTCCCGTTCTCCTCCACTCCCATTCCTCCCCTCTCCCGCCCTCCACTCTTAACCGCGCTTACCGCCCTTTCTACCTCCCTTCCTGCCTTGTGCGTGCCACCAGGTGGAGTTTCATCAGGACAAGTGCGAGCCGTGCATGCAGTTCGCGCCCGAGGTCGCCAAGGTCGCCGACTCGCTCAAAGGACTCGTCAAGGTGCGGGCGTGTGGGGGGGGGTGGGAGTGCAGGTGGGCCGCTTTGGGGGGAACGGGGTGGCATGCGGGGATGTGTGGTTGATGAGAGGGCATGGGACTCATCAGGGGTGGTGTCTCTTAGTCACACGATTGAAGTCTTTTGGTGACACACACGTGCCAGGGTTAGCTGCCCACCTCTTTTTTACCCCCTCTCCCTCCCTTCTCCATACCTCTGTCCCTTCCCTTCTCTTCCCCCCTTCCATTTAAATCGCTTCCTCTTCCCCCCACCTCGCTCCCCCTCTTTCACCCGGTCTGCATTCTGCGTGTCTGCGTGTCTGCACCCCTCTCCGTTGAGTCCTATCAGGTGGGCGCTATCAACTGCAACAAGGCGCCGGACGTGTGCATGCAGGCGCAGATCAAGGTGCGTACTGCACTTTCCACCCTCCTATCCACAGCTCTGTGCTGCTGTGCAAAGCATTAGGACTTGATCTTATTCCACGCGCCTGCCTAACCATGGTTCCTCCGTCCACCAGCATTGCTTTCTTCCTATGCATCTCTGCTCTCTGCTCCTTCTTCCTATGCATCTCTGCTCTCTGCTCCTTCTTCCTATGCATCTCTGCTCTCTGCTCCTTCTTCCTATGCATCTCTGCTCTCTGCTCTTTCTTCCTATGCATCTCTGCTCTCTGCTCCTTCTTCCTATGCATCTCTGCTCTCTGCTCTTTCTTCCTATGCATCTCTGCTCTCTGCTCCTTCTTCCTATGCATCTCTGCTCTCTGCTCCTTCTTCCTATGCATCTCTGCTCTCTGCTCCTTCTTCCTATGCATCTCTGCTCTCTGCTCCTTCTTCCTATGCATCTCTGCTCTCTGCTCCTTCTTCCTATGCATCTCTGCTCTCTGCTCCTTCTTCCTATGCATCTCTGCTCTCTGCTCCTTCTTCCTATGCATCTCTGCTCTCTGCTCCTTCTTCCTATGCATCTCTGCTCTCTGCTCCTTCTTCCTATGCATCTCTGCTCTCTGCTCCTTCTTCCTCCATCAACCTCACTCCCCTATTTGCTTCAGTCTCTCTCCCTGTGTTCCGCTATGTTCATGCATGCCTCCCTCCCCTCACCTCTTCTTCCCCCCTCTCTTCTCTCCCCTCCTCTCCTCCCTCACGTGTCAACAGGAGCTGCCTGCATTTAGGGTGAGTGCCACTGCCTTTACTCACCCACATCGAGAGGGGAGTCAGGGGGAGAGTTTGGGGCTGGTGGGGATGCGTTACTTACACATGCTGTAACATTTGCTGAAGCAGGAATGAGGAGGGGATGCCTTCGGCTCGTCGTCTAGCGTGTCCAGCCGCGTGTCCTGTCTTGCCTTCGCACCACCACTGCCTCCTCTTCCCCACAACCAGCACCAGCACCTCCCCTCTCCTCTCGCTCTCTCGCCTCTCACGCGCATACCTCTCTCCCTCGTGTCCCCTGCAGCTGTACCCATGGGAGGTGAAGGCCAACCCGTACACGCACAAGCGCTACAAGGACGCGCCTCAGGTGTTCACTGGAGACAACACCGCAAAGGCGCTCGTCAGCTTCGCCACTGGTGAGCCCCTGCCTTTCCTCCTCGCTCCCCGTGAGCCACTGGCGAACCCGTTCCGCTGCCCTCCTCCCCGTTCCCTTGCCTTGCCTCTGCATTCTGTGCCGCAACCATTCATTCATCCCTCCTCGCCACTCTACCCGTCGCCTCACTCCCGCTGCTACCTCTGCGTTCTCCACCGTTCCCCGCCGCCTGACTATTACCATGTGCACTGTGCTCCCCGCCCTCCCCCAGCCGCCCTACCGCATGACCTGGTGGCGAACATCTCCTCAGGCGCCTCTGCTGATGCCTTCCTCTCTGCCAACGCTACTCTCAACAAGGTTCCACTCCTCCCCGCCCTGCTATCCCTCCCGCCCTCTCCTTTCTAGTCCTGCATCTTCCCACTCCACCTCCATGCCTCTGCAGCACTGTTCTCATAGCAGCAGTCACAGAATAAAGCCACTTAAGTCAAATCAGACGTGCCATAGCAGCAGCAGTAGGCACAAACCTTCTGCAACCACGGCCCGACACCACAACTGCTCCGTGTCCCCCTGCTCCCCAATGCCGGCCCCCTGCCCGCCGTCTCCTCTGCCTGCTGCCCCCCCTGCCCGCCATCTCCTCTGCCCGCCATCTCCCCTGCCCGCCAGGTGGTGCTCTTCTCCACCAAGCCCGCTGTCACGCCACTCTTCAAGGCCCTCTCGCTGCAGTTTAGGTGTGACCTCGCGTCTTTGCTTTCACTGCTGTTGCCTTCCACTGCCACCTTCCATCTCTCCTTCTCCTCACGCCATCGTTCTCCCTGCCCTTCCTGGGGCTCTCTCGCCTTTTGTGTCTTGTACGGCATGGCATTGTGCATGGCATGGCTTATGGCATGGCACATGGGGCATGGCAGGAATCGGCTGGTGTTTGCGCAGGCCAAGTCGACTGATGAGGATCTGGCGGCCTCCTTTGGCGCCACCTCCTTCCCCGCGCTCTTCCTGCACAAGGTGCCCTTACACCCCTCACATCCCTCTGCTCACGACACCTCACTACACCGCACGCCATCTCTCCCCACCCCACTGGACCGTTGCCTTGCCGAGTCCTCTCCCCCCACCCACCACCTCGCATTCTCAAATTCTACCTTCAACCTATCAACCCTCGCCCACTGACCCCGTTGATCCCCCTCCCTTGTCCCCCATGACCCTCACTGACGGCTCCATCTCGTCCCTCCCCTTGGCCCTGCCCCTTTCTCCTCCCCTATCCTTCTCCTCTCCCCCTTCCTCATCCCTCCCCCCCACAACAGCCGGACGGCACCAGGCAGCTCTACGAAGGCCCGCTAAAGCCCGAGCCAATCGCCGCCTTCCTCGAGCAGTTCGCCGCCCCGGCCGAGCCCGCCGCTGACTCAGCGACAGCTGGCGAGGCGGAGGCAGGGGCGGCGGGGGAGGAAAGGCAATCGCGGTGGGTGCGGCAGATGAGGGCGGCAAATGTGAGCAGTCAGGTGCTACAGCGTGAAGAAATGTGGATGGTTGCTCTCACGTCCTCTTCTGGTGAGTGATCTTTGACGCGCCTCAAAAGTGGTGGGTGCGGCAGATGAGGGCGGCGAATGTGAGCAGCCAGGTGCTGCAGCGCGAGGAGATGTGGATGGTTGCACTCACGTCCTCTTCTGGTGAGTGATTGCGAGATTGCTGTTACTGGTTCTCTCTCATTTGCTTCTGAGGTGTGCAAGCTCCTCCTTGCTCTCTCAGTAACTCATTGACGTGCCGCTTTCACGTCCTCTCATCATAATCATTGTTGTGCCCTGTTGAGTGCGGTGCAGAGGAGTGCAGGGAGGTGAAGGAGAAGTTTGAGAAGACAGCAGAGGAGCTTGTGGGCATGGTAAGGCACGGGTTTAAATAAGCCAACCAATAATACATGGCATGCGATCATGACATCATCTATGCTCTTTTGATGAGATGGTGTTTGGCATAGATGGTATGGGAGCAGCATGGCATGTGCATGCACGGGGCATCTGTGTTGCCCCTCAGGCGCTCACTCTTGGCTACCTCCTCCCCCACCATCCACCCACATTCGCCATTGTGCACGGCAGATATTTGTGGGAGTGGTGGACATGCACACGGATGAGGATGCCAACAGGTAAGCTCCTCACATCTTTCTGCGTGGCTTCTGGGGCTCGTTACCAATTGCTGCTCCTTGCCCCGTTCTCCTGCCCATTCGTGCCTCTCTTTGCCTGTTCATTCCTGCTTCTCCTCCCCTGCCCAGACGTGCCTCTCCTCCCCTACTCATTTCTGTTACTACTTCCTTGCTCTTCTAGTTCTCCTCATCAAAACCTCCTTCCTTCACTCCCTCCCTTCCCCATCCCTCTCCCCATCTCTACCCCTCCCCTCCCCCTCCCTCTCCCCATTTCCCCCCTTTCCAGTCTAGCAACCAAGTACGGGGTGAAGGAGCCGTGTGGAGAGGCGCTGCTCTTCCCCCTGGGAGACGACAAGGAGGAGAATGAACCCGATGTGAGTCCACATGCTGAGAATGATGCGCCGTGTCCCACCTATGCATACCACGTCAATACGCTACTTCCTTTCTTGCCCCTTCTCCTTCCTCCTCCCTGCCCCCCTCATGGTTTGCACCCGGTGAATCATTTTTTCACTGAGCCTTTTAATTTGCACCTTCACTCCATCCCCTTATCCGCCGTCCCAATACCCCCCCCCCCCCCCCCCCCCCCCTCCTCTCCCTCTCCTCACGCCACCAGCGCATGCCCCTGGCGGCCTCCCTCAAGGCCATGACCGCAGCGGTGTACGCCCTGGCGCCCGACTCCTTTGTGACTCATTTGAGCCCTTCCCTTATCTCCCCCATCCCCCCTAACCCCTCCCCTCCCCCATCCCCCACCAGCGCATGCCCTTAACGGCATCCCTCAAGGCCATGACAGCAGCGGTGTACGCCCTGGCGCCCGACTCCTTTGTGCGCCACATCACTGCTGACTCGCTCGAGGTCTTCGCTCAGACCAACCCGCTGCAGCCCAAGGTGGGCATGGGGACAGGGCAGGGGTGAGGGCAGGGTGGGGTGGGAGCAGGGTGGGGGTGCTGTGATTCCAGTGAGGAGGGCCAGCCGTGCCATACCGCTTCTGACTCGATGCAATTGCTTCGCCTCCATGCGTCCCCATGTCCTTGCATCCCTCCCTCCCACCCACACATGTCTTTCATGCCTCCCACGCATGCGCTTCCCTTCCCGCCCGGCCTTGGCAGGTGTTTCTGTTCACGAATAAGAGGGAGACACCTGGCATGTACAAAGTGCTCTCCACCACCTTTCGCAAAGATGCTTCCTTCGCCCTGGTGTGTGCCTACATGCTCTATCCCGCTCAATGGTGTGTGTCCCTCCTCGTGTTATCCCTTCATTTCTCAGTCACTCATTCGCACCTCACACTAAGCGTGTTTGCCCTGCAACCACAAGCATACCTGGACTGCTCACTGTTCGACCCGGTAGTCCCTTGGTGTTGCTCCATGGTCCCTGTTGCTCACTGCTCACTCCTACACTAACCTGTGGCATGTCAATCTGCTCGTGCTCCTCACGCCCCTTTCCCCCCACATACCTTGCATCCCCTCCACCCCTCCCACCAGGTGCACGAGAGTGAGAAGAAGGTTGTTGCTCGGTTCAAAGTTGCCAAGTTCCCCCACGTGAGTGCTCTGTGTGCATGTGAGCCCTGTGCTGCATCCATGCCAGCACATGCCATCCCATACCATGCTCATCCGCTGCTCTCATCTCACACCTTGTACACACGTGTCATCGTCCCCTTATCTCTCCAGTCCCCACATTTTCACACACCCCCTCATAAACCCCTCCTCCCCTCTCCACCCATCGTCACCACTCTGCACCGCTGAGCAGATGTCGATAATGTTCCCGGCGCCCAGTCCAGGGAGGGAGGGCGAGGTGCAGCTGACAGTGCGCGACTTCCCCGGCCCGCTCAAGTACCACACTGTGGCGCCGCAGCTCATGCAGGTAAGGGCTGGGGGGTTGCATGCCATGCAGCTCATGCAGCTCTTGCCATGTCACATGCCAAGCGCAATGCAGGTGGGGTGGGGGGATGTGACGTGCAGGTGGTTACCACACTGTAGTGCCGCAGCTCATGCAGGTGGGGGTGGGGCGTGGCAGGTAGCTGCACATGTCACATGCCACCAAATGATACGTGGTTGTGCTGCCACCACATGACATCTCCACCCGTGCCCGTCCCCTTCCCTCTTTTCCCCTCGCTGTCCCAGTTGGTGGCCACAGCACGGCAGTTTGCGGCGCCAACAGCGGAGATAGTGGCATTGGGGGAGGGCAAGGAGGGGCAGGAGGATGCCTTTCAGACAGAATGTGTTGACTCCAACCGGTGCGTTCTAGGCCGCGCTTATCAGCCCTTGAATGTTATTTGCTTGCCAGGCAACACTCCTCTTGCTTCGCTGCATGCCTTCCCTCCCTTGCACACTGGGCACCCCCAAATGCTGTGGCAGGCGCACTTACCACCTCTGCCCTCTCCCACCTTTCCTCTCGCTCAACTCTCCTCTCTCCCACCTCTCCTCGCCCTTACCTCTCCCTGCTTGCAGGCTGTGTGTGATTGGTATTTTCAGCACAGACTCCCCTCTCGACCAGCTCAAGCGGGTGGCAGCCAAGTGGCTGCGGGGCGGCCAGTTTGTCTTCATGTGGCTGGACGCGGGGCGGCACAAGGCGTTGGCATCTCGAGTGCTCCCTCTGCTAGGCGTGAACCAGCAGGACCTGCCGACGGCGGTGGTGGTGAGCCCGCGCAAGATGCGCTGCGCCGTGCTGCCAGAGAGCTTCTCCCCGCCCATCCTCGACGCCTTCCTTGACTCGCTGCTCGCCGGCCGCGTCCGCACCTTCGCGCTTGATGTGAGTGGGAGACGCTTCTTCTCCTTGCGTGTGAGGAGGCGTTTCTAATTCATTCCATACCCTTCTCTTCTAATAACGTTGAACACCTGAGACACTCTTCTCCTGAATTCACCTACCCCAAGTCAACCCTTGTCATCTTCCTCTTCTCTGTTTCCCTCTCCTCCTCGCTGCTACCCTCAACTCCCTCCCTACCCCAGCGCCTGCCATCGTTCCTACCGGGCCCTTCAGAGGATTCTTCCCCGGCATCAGAGGCAGCAGAGGAGGCAGCAGAACCAGAGCCGATAGCAGAGGAGGTGCGTGCCTGCTGCTGCTGCTGCTGCTGCTGCATGTAATCCTCAAAATCTTTCTGTCTTTCCTTGGGCCCATGTGCCTGTCGGAAAATCCGTCTCGCTTTTCCACACCATCTCACACCACTCGCACCTTGTCGCACCCAATGGTACCCCCACTCTCCCTTATTCTCCCTCATCCGCATGTCCCCTCTTCACATGTCCCCTGTTTCGACTGTCCCCTCATACACATGCCACTTTGCTCGCTTGGCATCGCGCGCCCACGCTGCACCATCCATGCGGCACAGGAGTTTGATCTGGCGGACATCATGAGCGAGCAGGTGGAGGACGCCGATGCCGTCGCCTCAAAGGAGCACAAGATTCTGCAGGTCAGCACATGGTGGCCTTGTTTTGCATGTCACGTCACCTTGTGGCGTGCACGTTTTGCACATGTGCACGTTGTGGCGTCCACACGGGACAGGTGGAGGATGCCGACACCATCGCCTCCAAGGAGCACAAGATTCTGCAGGTCAGCACATGGTTGCCGTTTTGCCCCTGTTGCCATGGTAGGTCAGCGCATGGTGGCCATGGTAGGTCAGCGCATGTCGCCCTTTGAACCCTGTTGCCATCTCAACTTAGCATGTTGCCATGGCGGGTCAGCACTTCGCCATCACAGTGACTCCTTTGCTCATATGTTACTTACTTCTCACTCACCCCCCTCCTCCCTCACTCCCCTTCCTCTTTCCTCTCACATGGCAGGCTGACAAGGAGGCAGAGGAGGAAGCAGCCAGGAAGGCAGCAGAGGCGGAGGCAGCAAAGAAGGCATCGAAGAAGAAAAAGAAGAAGAGCAAGACCAAGAAGAGCAAAGCCGTGGACTCGGATGTTAGGGATGAGCTGTAGCTAGGCTATAGATGGGCTGTATCTGGGCTGCAACTCTGCTACATACTCTGTCTGTTTTCTCAGATAGCAGACGTACATCTACATTTCAGTGGACCCTGCAAACGTGCAAACAGGCTGCTCCATACTCTGCATTGAGCAGCGGTACACTTAATTTTCAGCGGACCCTGTTGACCTGGCATTTTGTAATGAAAACCGGTGTTCAGAATGACCATGGGAAACTTATTGCAGCTTCACAATTCCAGGCGAAGCCTTACCACCAAATTACGTTTAGACTATAACGAGGTTGCTCATCAACCCAGTCGGAGTGCAGCATGTACACATACAAGCCTTTCTCCACATCGAGCGTCAGAAGCACGCTTGCTTGCTTCTCGCCTCTGCCAGCCATTTCCAATCAGGAGGAACTTCGATTCGAACAGGGCCCTCTCGCTTCACACACACATATTTCAAAACTCGTAGCGGACTAGCAGCGGACACGTAACGACGCAGCGAAGTACACGCAGCGATCAGTTGTTGCCGTGCGATCGTACGAGTAGTAAACGAGGTCGCGCAGCGTGAGAATCTGGAGCCCGTGTGCGAGCGGCCATGGGAGTGCAGGGCCTGTGGGAGCTGCTGGCGCCGACGCGTGTCCGTGGAGGCCCTCGCCAACAAGACGGTAGCTGTCGGTACGTTCCGTAGCGGGCAGATTCGTGCACCGGTAGGACTGCGCAGCCTTACCAACGCACGGATTCGCTGCGCAGCGGTTCGTTCCGCTCGAGCATGTTAGTGTGTGGTAGGATTGCGCAGTACGGCTCTGGTGAACATTCCCAGCGGCTCGTTCCGTTGTGCGTGACGCACGTTGAATCTTTTCTAGCGCTTCGTTTGTGACTAGAAAGACGGATTTTCTTGTTGTTATCTTGCGTCAACTGTCTGGATCAAATTCGAAAGGCAATGCTGTCGCATTGCTCGTGATTTGTGTTAGCAAAGACGTGAGCGTTTACCGATCAGCTGTATTCCTGATTTAATTCGTTAGACGCAAGCGATTTTTCAGCATTCCTCTATTACGTTTCGTTGCGAGTTCTTAATCTCAGATTCTTCCAACCCAGTCTGTCCCGCCATTCCGCGTCACTGGCTGCCAACGGCGCAGTCGCCTGTTCTAACCATGCGCCTTCCCCAATTCCCCCCTCCTGGTGCGGGTCAGACGCGAGCATATGGCTGGTGCAGTTTCTCAAGGCGATGCGCGACGATCGCGGCGAGCTGCTGCCGGGCGCGCACCTGCTGGGCTTCCTGCGGCGCGTGTGCAAGCTGCTCTTCCTGCGCATCCGCCCGCTCATCGTCTTCGACGGCGCCACTCCCGCGCTCAAGCGCCGCACCGTCCTTGCGCGCCACCGCCAGCGGGAGAACGCGCAGATCAACCTGCGCAGGACGGCGGAGAAGCTGCTGCTCAACCAGGTGCGCGCGGGCAGTGGAGGGTGCGGGGAGGGGGAGAGGGGGAAGAAAGGGAAGGGGGTGGCGGATGACGGGGAGACAGAGAGGCTTTGTTGAATCGGGTAGCGTGGAGGTGGTGCAGTGACTTGCGGTTGTAAGAAGAAACTGAGTTTGGGGTTCACACTGTTTATTTGCGTTGTTCATCTCTTGTCTCTCTCTGCTCCACCATTTCCCTCGGCTCTGTGGTGTTGTGTTGCTGGCAGCTGCGGCTGCGTAAGCTGGAAGAGGCAGCACAGGAGATGCAGCAGAGGGGCAGGGGGCGGGCGGTGGGCAGGGGGACAGGAGGGGCGCGGGGAGGGGGCAAAGGAAAGGAGAAGGTGGATGAGGTGGTGGGCGATAAGAAGCAGGAAGATGAGGGCCGAGGGAGACGCTGTCCAGAAGACAAGGCAGCGCAGGAGCAGGGCGGCTGCAATGAGGAGGCGAGGAGGGATCAAGAGCACGCTGATGCTCTGTATGTCTCAGGCCCGCCTCTGGCTGAGCTTCAAACTCATCCTCGTTTCTTTCTTCTCCTTATTGCTTCCTTACTTCCTTGCTGCACTGCACCTCCCCTCACCGTGCTAAATCTGGCATTATTCCTGTTATGCTCCCCCTGTTGCTGCCAGCCTGGCAGCATCGCTGGCAGCTGAGTGGGCAGGGCAATCCGCGGGCACCTCTGGTGCTGCCCCGGACGTGGCAGGCACCTCCCGTGATGCCGCTGCCGCTGCTGCTGCTGCTGCTGCTGTGGCTTCTGTAGCTGCTGCTACTGCTGGTGGTGCTGGCGGTGGTGAGGCGGCCAGGGGGCCAGTGGAAGTGGAGGGGGGTGATGGTGGGAGCGACGAGGGCAGTGATGAGGACGACTTGACCGAAGAAGCTATGGCGCTCCTGGTGCGTGCCTCATGCTCATATGCCGCTTTCCATTCCTTCCCCTCCATGTATGACTTTCCGCTTTTTGGATTAGAATTTTAAGATGCAACTTCCGTACATGTGAAATTAAGTTCTCTCGCTCCCCATGCCCCACATGTTCTGGTGCCAATGCCACCAGCCGGAGGTGGCATCTGGGGGAGGCGCACCGCTGGATCCGGCAGTGCTGGCCTCGCTGCCACCCTCCCTGCAGCTACAACTGATGGTGCAGGTGGGTGTGCGTGCTACAGCCAGCTCATGGTGCAATATGTGTGCTACAGTTGATGGTTCTAAAGCGTGCTACAGTTGATGGTTCTAAAGCGTGCTACAGTTGATGGTTCTAAAGCGTGCTACAGTTGATGGTTCTAAAGCGTGCTACAGTTGATGGTTCTAAAGCGTGCTACAGTTGATGGTTCTAAAGCGTGCTACAGTTGATGGTTCTAAAGCGTGCTACAGTTGATGGTTCTAAAGCGTGCTACAGTTGATGGTTCTAAAGCGTGCTACAGTTGATGGTTCTAAAGCGTGCTACAGTTGATGGTTCTAAAGCGTGCTACAGTTGATGGTTCTAAAGCGTGCTACAGTTGATGGTTCTAAAGCGTGCTACAGTTGATGGTTCTAAAGCGTGCTACAGTTGATGGTTCTAAAGCGTGCTACAGTTGATGGTTCTAAAGCGTGCTACAGTTGATGGTTCTAAAGCGTGCTACAGTTGATGGTTCTAAAGCGTGCTACAGTTGATGGTTCTAAAGCGTGCTACAGTTGATGGTTCTAAAGCGTGCTACAGTTGATGGTTCTAAAGCGTGCTACAGTTGATGGTTCTAAAGCGTGCTACAGTTGATGGTTCTAAAGCGTGCTACAGTTGAATATGTGGCCTCTCCTTCTGTCCTCTCACCTGCTCGTCACCGTTTCTTCTTCCCGCCTCTCCCCGCACTGCTGCTGCATGCTGCGCTTCTCTCCTCCCTCCTCCCCGTTTCCTCCTCCCTGCGCGTGGGCATATGCGTGAGCAGCTGGTGGCGGAGAATCGCCACAAGTTTGAGCAGGCTGCCAAGGTGAGAGGGAGGGGGGATAGCACGGGTGTGAATATCACAAGTAGTAGGTAGGTTCGCATGGCGGGGGGCCTGGTTGCTTGGGATATGTAGGTGTGAGTGAGGTGTGGGATGGTACGCTCTATCCTGCCCGTCCTGATGATCCCGTTCCCGCCTACCTCTCCCCTTTCCCCCTACCCTCCCGCCCCCCACGGCTCTCGCCTCCACCAGGCGCCAGCAGCGTTCTCATCGCTGCAGGTGGGCGCCTATCTGCGCACGGCTGCCATGCGCCGCCAAATCGACTCCGTGCGCTCCGCCGCCGCCTCTGCCTTCGCTGCCTCTGCCCCCGCTGCTGTTGCTGCCGCCACCTTTCCCACTTCCACCCCTGGTTCGTCCTCTGCTGCTGCTGCCGTGGCAGCAGTGGGAGCATCAGGAGGGGAAGTGATTGGCGTGGGAGTGGCTGGGCGAGCAGGAGGAGCAGCAGAGGCGGAGGAAGGAGTGGGGGTGGGTCGAGGGGGTGGAGGGGGCGTGGGCGGGGGGCGGATAGCATCGGAGGCGGGCAGGGAGTTTGTGTTCACCTCCTCTGTGGGGCAGGGGGCAGGGTGAGTGGCGGTGGGCGCGGGTGGTGTATGGGCTTGGAACGTAAAGGGAGGGTGTTGTGGGTTCGTTCATAGGATGTACCACTGTGTCCTCCTGCTGCTGCTCCTCCTGCTCGCCCAGCCACACCCACGCCAGTCACTTCCCCCGCCTCCAGCTGTTGTGGGTTCGTTCATAGGATGTAACAGCGTGGGTGTTGTGGGTTCGTTCACTCCTTGTTATCCCTCTGCTCTGTCTCGCCCCTCATTTCCCCTCCCCTCTCCGCCTGCTTGTTCTGATCCATTCCCCCTTTGCCTGCAGCGACGCTCCCCTAGGACGGCGCCTGCCCCCGTTGTCAGCAGCACCCGCACAGGGCAGGGGGGGAAAGGGGCTGCGCGGGAGGGGCAGGGGGAAGGGCGCCTGGGGGCACCGATGGACGGGGGAAGATGCTTGGGGGGAGAGGAGGGGAGGAGGGGGAAGTGGCAAGGCGAAGCAAGTGGAAGGGGATAAGGACAAGGAGGGGGCAGAGGACGAGTGTGAGAGGGACGGTTTGCGGGATTTCTCATGGGGGGGAGGGAGGGGGCAGGGGGGCGCGGAGGGGCTGCTGCAGCTGCCTGGCATTCTGCAGCAGGCGGTGAGCTGGGGGAGGGGGAGGCGGAGGGGGGAGCCGGGGGGACAGTCGGGGGAGGGCGCTAGAGAGGCAAAGGGCGGTGGGACTGGCGGGGCCGGGGATGGGGCGTGTGGAGTGAGTGGAGGCGTTGAGACGAGGGTGGAGGGGGGGGAAGAAGAGGGGGAGGCAGTGAAGGAGGCGTATTTGGCGCTGGTGGCAGAGGAAGGCACGGGGCAGCCGACACAGACAAGTGGCAGTGCTGTCAACACAGACGCTGCTCCTGGTTCTGCTGCTCGTGATGCCCCTCCTCTTGGCGGCAGTGGCTCCAATGCTGCTGCTGGCAGCCCTGCAGCAGACAACGCTGCTGATGGCGATGATACAGAGGCGGCAGACACAGCAGAAGGGGAGGCGACAGGAGGGACAGTGGGGGAGGCGGCAGCAGGGGCAACGGAGGGTGGGAGTGTGCCGACGTACCGGGACGAGCAGGGCAGGGTGCGGGTGAGCCGCGTGCGAGGCATGGGCGTGCGCATGACTCGTGACCTGCAGTGGAACCTGGTTCTCATGCGCGAACGGGAGAAGGAGAGGGCGACGGGCACGGGGAATGGGGGCAAGGAGGAGAAGGGGAGGGATATAGGAAGGGAGATGTTGAAGGGGAGGGATATAGGAAGGGAGATGTTGAAGGGGAGTGAGGGCGTGGTGGGGAAGGGTGAAGAGCGGGAAGGAGGGGAAGAGGAGGAGGTGCAGTGGGAGGATGGGATGGTCGCTGCTGCTGCTGATGATGATGCTGGTGGCAGGGGAGGTGGGGCAACAGGTGGTGTATGTGGGATGGAATCCAAAGGAGTAGATGAGGGGCACAAAAAGGAGAAGGGAAGGGGGTTGGAGGAAGGTGGGGGAGTGGAAGAGGAAGAGCAGGAAGAGGGAGAAGGAGGTGAGTACGAGGATGAGCTGTTTGCCATGCTCGTGGCTGCTGGGAAGGTCAGAACAACAAATCCAACGCACACACCAAGCACGCTTGGTGGGGTTGCTGCTCCTTCCACTCCACTTGCCCTTACCCAGCCACCTGCTGCCATCTCGGCAACGGGGCATGTCAGACATTCGGATGCTGAGGAGCGGAGGGAGGAGGAGGAGGATGTGGAGTGGGAGGACGGAGGAGGAGGGGAAGAGGAGGTGGCGCAGTCACTTAAAGGAGAAGTGGAGGGAGGAGAGGGAAGAGAGGGAGGGTTTGCCGCAGAAAAGGATGTGCAGGGAAGGGTTTCGCCAGGTGATGCTGACGTGGACATGGAAGCAGACGTGGAGTGGGAGGAAGCACCAGTCACCGTGCAGCACATGAAGCCAAGCAAGGCGCCTCCATCCCCTCAACCTGGCCCGCCCTCTGATCCTGCCCCCACCCCTGCCTCCGCCTCGACATCTGCAGCGCTATCTACCCCTACCCGTGCAGACGAGAGAGGCACAGCGTCTCTTTCTGGCGCGAAGAGGCGTGCGGGTGCGTGGGAGGAGGAGCAGATGGCAGAGGCTGTGAGGAGGAGTCTGGAGGATATGGGGGGGAGGAAGCAAGAGGCGCAGCAGCGTGGGGGTGCAGTGGAGTCTGGGGAGGAGGTTAAGGGGAGTGGAGGGGAGGGAGAAGGGAGGGGAGAGGGGGCAGTGGAGGGAGGGGAGGGGGGAGCGGATGAGGTGGAGGAGGAGAGAGCAGCATTGGAGGAGGAAGCAAGGAGGCTACGAGAGGAGATGGAGGAGGGCCAGCGACGAGTGCAGGTGAGCCAGCATTGCATGCACACTCGCATCTCGCATCATCGATCGTCCATCCATTCCCCACCCCACTTCCGCCACGCTCTGCGCCTCTCTGCGGCAGTACCCGTCGTGCCACTGTCCTCTGAATCCACATTGCACGTTTGAGCGTGCAGGAGGAGGAGCAGGCAGAGGAGGCCGCGGGCCAGCAAGAGGAGCAAGAGGAACGGGGGGAGCAGGAGGGGCAGCAATTGGACGAAAGTGAGTGGGAGGAGCAGGAGGCGGCGCTGAGGAGGAGGTGGGAGGAGGAGAGTGGGCGGGTGGAGAGGGAGGGGCGGCGGCTGAGGCAGCAGAAGAGAGCACATGAGCGCGACGCTGCCTCTGTCACCTCCGAAATGCTGGCTGAGGTGCAGGTAGGAGTCATCACTGCATCGGCTCTCCTCTCAGCCGTCGCTCTGCCTGCCATTCTATTTCTAAACACTCACCTTCTGCCTCGCCCACTCACTCCTGTCTCCCTTCCCTGTGTCTCTCCGTTCTCTCCCCTCCCCACAACTCTTTCCCCCAGGAGCTGCTGCAGCAGTGCGGGGTGCCGTACATAATAGCGCCAATGGAGGCGGAGGCGCCGTGTGCATGGCTGGCGCAGCACGGCGTGGTGGACGCGGTCGTCTCAGACGACTGTGACGCGCTGCTCTTCGGCGCTCCCACCCTCTGGCGCCACCTCTTCTCCGACCGGCACTATGTGGAGGTGTATCGCGCTGAGGACGTGCAGCGAGAGCTGGGGCTCAGCAGGAGGCACCTCGTGCGCATGGCCATGCTGTTGGGTTGTGACTACACGCCCGGGATCAGGTGAGCGGAATGACATAATCCGTGTGAAGTTATCACCATCCAGATAACCATAAGAAAAGATAAACCGAGTACGGAAGATGAGCGACTTTGGTCGAAATCATAACTAGCATCATATCAAGGTCAAGGGCTGGCGTGACGGTGCTGGCACTGTACTGCAGTTCCTTGTTGGAGATAGTGATGTCCTGCTTAGGCTTTCAAGCTTTTGCCCCTTCTTCAATTTTAGTTGGCTTGTTCTCCTTGTCCTGCTAGTCAGCAGCTCTCTAGAAATGGTCTGTGGCAAATCCTCCCCCCTCCCCCGCTTCCGCTGCCAGTGGCATCGGTGTGGTGAACGCCATTGAGGTGATCCATGCCTTCCCGGGTGCACGCGGGCTGCAGCGCTTCCGCCACTGGCTCGACTCCCCCCATGCCGCTGCCCTCGCCCACCTGCTACCTGGGGGAGCAGAGGGCGGTGCAGCGGGTGGTGCTGTGGCCGCGGCAGATGGGTGGGGGGATGACGATGGGTGGTGGGAGGATGAGGAGTCGGATGAGGAGGAGGAGGGGGAGGAGGGTGGGGAAGGTAGGGGGAAAGGTAATGGGAGGAAGGGCGAGGGGGTGGGAAAGGAACGGAGTGGCAAGGGGAAGAGCAGCAGGAAGGGAGAGGAGCAGGGCAAGGGGGGGTCAGAGGAGGTTCGGGAGGCAAGGAGGGCGCTGGCCGAGGCACGGAGGCGAGAATTTGAAGCCACACATGTGAGTGCAAGTGCCTGACGTGCCTCGTCTTCCACGCTTGCTTGCGCCTTGCCTTGCAGAGGAACGTGGATTGCACCCTCTTGTTTGATTGTATTCCCTGCCACTCTACTGCCATCCCCTTCAATACAACCCATCCCATCCCATTCCACCTCACCCCACCCAACCCCACCCCACCGTCCCCCCACCCTTGGCAGGCGGGGGTGAGGAGGCAGTGGGTGGTGCCGGGCAACTTCCCCAGTGCAGCGGTGGCAGCGGCGTTCAACCGCCCCCATGTGGACCGCAGCACTGCCCCGCCCTCCTGGCACCCGCCCGACCTCCCTGCTCTGCGCCAGTGCGCCCCCCCTCCCTCTCCGCCTCCTCAATCCTTGGCCCTTCCTCCATCTTCTCTTACCCACCCTCTCTCCTGTTTTGTCGTCCCTCTCCATCTTGGCCTGCCCTTCCATTGTCTCTCGTATCCCTCCTCCATTCATTGCGTCTTCTCCTGCTCTTCCTGTCAAACCTTGTCCGTGCTCCCGTCCGCCTGTCCCTGCATGCCACGTGGCAGGCTGTGTGTGGCGAAGCTGGGCATGGCGCCAGAGAAGGCGGATGCGCTGCTGCTGCCAGTCGTCAAGGCTGCCTCCTCCCGCCAGGTAGGCTCCCCCATGCCATGCCATGCTGTGGTATGCCGTGCTGCATGCCATGTTCCACGCCATGCCACATGCCATGCTTCATGCCATGCCGCTGTACCAGGTGTGCTTGCAAGCCGTGACACCATCACTGTTCGCACTTTCGGGATTTCTTGCCCATATGCTGCTTTACAACCCCTGTTTGGATTTTCTTGTACCATCTCCCATCTCCCATTCCCCCCATCCCTTCTTCCCCCCACCACACCCCACCAGACCCAGCAGCGGCTGGAGGCGTTCTATTCGTTCAAGCAGCGCTTTGCCAAGATCCGATCGCGCCGTGTGCAGCGGGCCGTCACCGGCATCGCTGGCAGCGCTGCCCGGCACCTCATGCTGCCGCCCTCAGGGGTCACTGCGCCTGAGGAGGACGACGCAGAGGAGGAGGATATCCTTGACGCTCATGCCCCTACTGCTAATGCTGCTGGTGCTGCTGGCGCTAAGGATGTTTCTGGTGGCAGGGAGCAGGATGGTGTGGCAGCAGGTGGTGGTGGTGGTGGTGTGGTGACTGGTGTGAGGCGCGGGAAGGCCAAGGGCGCTGCTGGTGCTGTGGGCGGGGAGAGGAAGGGACGAGGAGGGAAAGGGCGAGGGAGAGGGCGGGGTGTTGCGAGTGAGAGAGGCAGGGGGAGGGGAAGGGGAGGGGGAAGAAGGGGAGGGCGTGTGGGACGGAGGAAAAAGGGAGATGCGGTGGAGGAGGCGGAGGGCGAGTGGGCATGCTCAGGCGAGTCTGGGGGGGAGGAGAGGCATGGCAGGGGCATGAAGGTTGGGGCAGCAGAACAGAGCACAGATGCTGGCAGCACGAGAGGGGCCGAGGGTGGTATGGAGGGGGGTGTGGCTGAGCGTGGGGGAACGGGCGTGCCTGTGAGGGTGCAGCCAAGACGTGAGGCCAAACGGCCGCGCCTGCAGCTTGGAGACTCCTATGGTGCGCTGGGTGGTGATGGTGTTGATGGGGTTTCCCTGAGTGACTCGCACTCGAGCAGCAGTGGGAGTGATGCCGACCTTGCTGATGCGCATGGCGATAGCAATGGTGGTGATGATGTGTTTCATCCCCAAGAACACCTGCCCTCACCTTTCGCTGCAAGACCTGTGGCCCGACGCACTTCTCCCACAGGCACAGGCACATGCACAGGTACAATCACACCCACACCCACACCCACACCCACACTCACACTCACACCCACACCCACACTCACTGGTGCACTCATTGCCACAGGGCAAAGCTGCCAACAGCAAGCAGGCGGGCAGGGAGGGGTGGAAGGTGTCGGTGGGGGAGAGGGAGGAGGGAAGGGGGACGCAGCAGGGCAGGCAGGTGGGAGAGGTGAGAGTGAGGGGACGTGGGTGGTGCAGCGACACGCGCACGGGGCAGAGGAGCAACAGCATGGCTGCCCTCGCCACGGGGCAGAGGAGCAACAGCATGGCTGGGGGCAGGGGGGAGCACCGTGCAGCTCTCTGCATGCGCTCATGCACGGAGGGGGGTTCTGTGTGGGGGAGGAGCAGCACGGGGAGGGGCAGGTGGCGGAGGTAGGGGGGAGGGAAAGGGGAGAGGAAGAGCAACAGCTGTGGATGGAGCAGACAGGAGGAGCGGAGAGTGAAGAGATAAGGGGTGTTGTGGCAAGTAATGAGGTCACAGGTGGTTGGGGTGGGTGTAGAGAGATGGGGGAGAAGGTGTTTGGAGGGACGGAAGGGGTGGATGGGAAAAGAGAGAGCGAGGGTGATGGTGGTGGGATGGTTGATGTGCCCACATCACACAGTAGCCAGTCTCCCACCCTTGCCTCATTGGAGCCAGCTGCTTCTGCTCCTGCTGCACCTCCTGCACCTCCTGCACCTCCTGCACCGGACCCCCACCGTGCCGCCATGGGACCTCTGCTGCCCGCCCCCTTGCGCCGCAAGAAGCCCCGGGTGCGCTGAAGCAGGCATGGCATGCGTAAGGATGGGCCACCTGGGGCAAACGAGCCAGCATTACACTCGCTTGCATATTTTGTAAATAGGCTACGGTGGCTAAGATGAAATTGCTGTATTGAGCTCGTTATAAGATTCAGTATTTATCCTCGCCATAGGCCCGTGCAAAGAGCGAGGCGATGCTGCCTTCCTCACAGAGTCCCAATTCACTTCAACCTGACACACTTCACACGCTTGTCCCACTGCCTTGTTTGAATGTACATTTTGTAATGAGTTCAAAATACCGTATTTACCCAACCTGTATTGACCGTATTTATGGAGGCAGTTGACAGCGAAGTTGATCACATTGAAAATGCGCTGCAATCAGCACCAAATGCGTTTGTGCGACGTGCGAGACCAAGACGCGCGATGGCGGGTAGGCCGTGGTAGCTCCGCGCTGTCGCAGAAAGGCGCAGGGAGACCAGTAGTGCGGAGGAGAACGGACGAGTTCTGGGGCTGATTCCCCTCGTCACGCGTCATAGCCGCCAGTGCCACGACAACGGCTACAAGTCGCGCTGCTCCTCCACTAAGCTGCGAGCACCAGGCGGCGCGGAGCGGAGCGGGCGGGGCGCCATGCGTGCCGTATTCCAGCGGGTGTCGTCCGCCCGCGTCGAGGTGCGCCTGGCGCTGCCGCGCCCGCCGATATCTCACCCTCCTCTTTGGCGCTTCCGCTTCCGCTTTCCTTCCTCTCCAGCACCTGACCCTCGTCTCTTCCCCTTCCCGTTCCCCACGTACCATCTCTCCCGCCCTCCCCCTGCTCCACCACTTCCGCCAAACTCTGCGGTCCGGATCCGTCCGCGCGACACCTTCCCCCTCCCCGTGTGCGGCATGCGGGGCGCGCGCAGGTGGAGGGGCGCGTGGTGGCGGAGATCGGCGCGGGGCTGTGCGTGCTGGTGGGGGTGATGGCGGGGGACGGCGAGCAGGACTGCGACTACATGTGAGAGGGGGGGGAGGAGGGGGGGAACGGGAAGGGGGGAAAGGCGGAAGGGGGCAATGATATGCGGGCTGTGCGTGCTGGTGGGGGTGATGGCGGGGGACGGCGAGCAGGACTGCGATTACATGTGAGAGGGGAGGGGAATGGGGGAAAGGGGTGGAGTGGGGAGTGTGGGAAAGGGGGCGATGATATGTGTAGTGTGAGGTGGTGTGGGAGGCGAAAATGAAAGAGTTTGTTTTGCAGGTGGCAGTGATGGGTATTGGAACTATCAAGCGTGCATGCCAGTGGGGGCGGTGCCTGTGCAAGTAATTACTTCTCCCACTCATCCCCTTCGCCCCAACCATCCATGGTCATGCACTCATGCCCGCATCCTCTCATGCCCTCATGCACTCATGCTCGCATGCATCTCACACACATGTGGCGGGCGCGCAGGTGTCGAAAGATCCTGAATCTGCGCCTGTGGCCCAATGAGAAGACCGGCAAGGCCTGGGACCAGAGCGTGAGTGACGGGCGAACGCGTGAGGGGCGTGGGAGTGAGTGGAACGTTGTATGCACATGCGTACGGGAGAGTGAATGGGGTGGCATCGCATGCTTCATTCACCTCTGCCATCATCCTTGCATCTCAGCCAGCCATGCCGCAGCCCTCTTGCACCCGGGCCATTCACATGTCTGCCTGCCTCGTGTCTGTCTGCCTGTCTGTCTGCGCGTGCAGGTGTCGCAACGAGGCTATGAGGTATTGCTAGGTGCGTACCCTCCACCTTTCCACCCTCCCACCCACTCCACCCCCCTTGCACATGCACCGCTTACCCTCGTACCCCATTCTCCCACCGCGTGACCATCCACACCGTGCCTGGTGGGGCGCACGACTGGCTGCGCTCCACTCGCCCTTCACCCCGTCCGCCCCCTTGCATCCATGGCCACCCCTACTAATGACATGACAATGGCAATTGTAATGGTAATGGCATGACAATGGCGATTGTAATGGTAATGGCATGACGATGGTAATGGTAATGGCATGACAATGGTAAATGGTAATGGCATGACGATGGTAATGGTAATGGCATGACAATGGTAATGGTAATGGCATGAAGATGGTAATGGTAATGGCATGACAATGGTAATGGTAATGGCATGAAGATGGTAATGGTAATGGCATGACAATGGTAAATGGTAATGGCATGACAATGGTAATGGTAATGGCATGACAACAGTAATGGTAATGGCATGAAGATGGTAATGGTAATGGCATGACGATGGTAAATAGTAATGGCATGATGACGGTAATGGTAATGGCATGACAATGGTAATGGTAATGGCATGAAGATGGTAATGGTAATGGCATGACAATGGTAATGGTAATGGCATGAAGATGGTAATGGTAATGGCATGACAATGGTAATGGTAATGGCATGACGACGGTAATGGTAATGGCATGACAATGGTAATGGTAATGGCATGAAGATGGTAATGGTAATGGCATGACAATGGTAATGGTAATGGCATGAAGATGGTAATGGTAATGGCATGACAATGGTAAATGGTAATGGCATGACAATGGTAATGGTAATGGCATGACAACAGTAATGGTAATGGCATGAAGATGGTAATGGTAATGGCATGACGATGGTAAATAGTAATGGCATGACGATGGTAATGGTAATGGCATGACAATGGTAATGGTAATGGCATGAAGATGGTAATGGTAATGGCATGACGATGGTAATGGTAATGGCATGAAGATGGTAATGGTAATGGCATGACGATGGTAAATGGTAATGGCATGACGATGGTAATGGTAATGGCATGACGATGGTAATGGTAATGGCATGACGATGGTAATGGTAATGGCATGAAGATGGTAATGGTAATGGCATGAAGATGGTAATGACAATGGCATGAAGCGCGCGCCTTGGTCCGGGCGCGCGCCTTGGTCCGGGAGCGCGCCTTGGTCCGGGCGCGCGACTTGGTCCCGGCGCGCGCCTTGGTCCGGGCGCGCGCCTTGGTCCGGGCGCGCGCCTTGGTCCGGGAGCGCGCCTTGGTCCGGGAGCGCGCCTTGGTCCGGGAGCGCGCCTTGGTCCGGGAGCGCGCCTTGGTCCGGGCGCGCGCCTTGGTCCGGGCGCACGCCTTGGTCCGGGAGCGCGCCTTGGTCCGGGAGCGCGCCTTGGTCCGGGAGCGCGCCTTGGTCCGGGCGCGCGCCTTGGTCCGGGGGCGCGACTTGGTCCGGGCGCGCGCCTTGGTCCGGGCGGGCGCCTTGGTCCGGGCGCGCGCCTTGGTCCGGGCGCGCGCCTTGGTCCGGGAGCGCGCCTTGGTCCGGGCGCGCGCCTTGGTCCGGGCGCGCGCCTTGGTCCGTGCGCGCGCCTTGGTCCGGGCGCGCGCCTTGGTCCGGGCGCGCGCCTTGGTCCGGGCGCGCGCCTTGGTCCGGGAGCGCGCCTTGGTCCGGGAGCGCGCCTTGGTCCGGGCGCGCGCCTTGGTCCGGGCGCGCGCCTTGGTCCGGGCGCGCGCCTTGGTCCGGGCGCGCGCCTTGGTCCGGGCGCGCGCCTTGGTCCGGGCGCGCGCCTTGGTCCGGGCGCGCGCCTTGGTCCGGGCGCGCGCCTTGGTCCGGGCGCGCGCCTTGGTCCGGGCGCGCGCCTTGGTCCGGGCGCGCGGCTTGGTCCGGGCGCGCGGCTTGGTCCGGGCGCGGGCCTTGGTCCGGGCGCGCGCCTTGGTCCGGGCGCGCGCCTTGGTCCGGGCGCGCGCCTTGGTCCGGGCGCGCGCCTTGGTCCGGGAGCGCGCCTTGGTCCGGGAGCGCGCCTTGGTCCGGGCGCGCGCCTTGGTCCGGGCGCGCGCCTTGGTCCGGGAGCGCGCCTTGGTCCGGGAGCGCGCCTTGGTCCGGGCGCGCGCCTTGGTCCGGGCGCGCGCCTTGGTCCGGAAGCGCTCCTTGGTCCGGGCGCGCGCCTTGGTCCGGGCGCGCGCCTTGGTCCGGGAGCGCGCCTTGGTCCGGGCGCGCGCCTTGGTCCGGGCGCGCGCCTTGGTCCGGGCGCGCGCCTTGGTCCGGGCGCGCGCCTTGGTCCGGGAGCGCGACTTGGTCCGGGAGCGCGACTTGGTCCGGGAGCGCGACTTGGTCCGGGCGCGCGACTTGGTCCGGGCGCGCGACTTGGTCCGGGCGCGCGAATTGGTCCGGGCGCGCGACTTGGTCCGGGCGCGCGACTTGGTCCGGGAGCGCGCCTTGGTCCGGGAGCGCGCCTTGGTCCGGGAGCGCGCCTTGGTCCGGGTGCGCGCCTTGGTCCGGGCGCGCGCCTTGGTCCGGGCGCGCGCCTTGGTCCGGGCGCGCGCCTTGGTCCGGGAGCGCGCCTTGGTCCGGGAGCGCGCCTTGGTCCGGGCGCGCGACTTGGTCCGGGCGCGCGACTTGGTCCGGGCGCGCGACTTGGTCCGGGAGCGCGCCTTGGTCCGGGAGCGCGCCTTGGTCCGGGAGCGCGCCTTGGTCCGGGCGCGCGCCTTGGTCCGGGCGCGCGCCTTGGTCCGGGCGCGCCCTGGTCCGGGCGCGCGCCCTGGTCCGGCCGCGCGCCTTGGTCCGGGAGCACGCCTTGGTCCGGGCGCGCGCCTTGGTCCGGGAGCGCGCCTTGGTCCGGGCGCGCGCCTTGGTCCGGGCGCGCGCCTTGGTCCGGGAGCGCGCCTTGGTCCGGGAGCGCGCCGTGGTCCGGGCGCGCGACTTGGTCCGGGCGCGTGGCATGACAATGGTAATGGTAATGGCATGACGATGGTAATGGTAATGGCATGACAATGGTAATGGTAATGGCATGACACGGGTAAATTATAATGGCACGACGATTGTAATGGCATGACAATGGTACTGTGCGGGTATTGGCACCCTGCCGCGCACAGTGAGTCAGTTCACGCTATACGGGCACCAGTTCACGCTGTATCTTCAACCCCAGTGTCTCCTCTTGCTTTCCCCCCCAATCATCCGCGGCAGTGAGTCAGTTCACGCTGTACGGCCAGCCCAAGGGCAACAAGCTCGACTTCCACGTCGCCATGCCGCCGCAGGAAGCCAGCGCATTCTATGACGCTTTCGTGCACCGCGTGCGCCGGGCCTACCACCCCGACCGTGTCAAAGGTGCGTTTTTTCAGTCGAGTTTTGAGTCGATCCAAAACTCAGAAGCCGCCCCAGCAGGCGAGCGCCTTCTACAATGACTTCGTGCACCGCGTGCGCCGGGCCTACCACCCCGACCGAGTAAAAGGTGAGGTGCTGCACGGCAACGCAACCAGTGTGTGTGCGCAGTGTGGCTGGGAGAAGGGATAGAAGCCCACACACACAGCCTAGAGACCCTGTTTCTGTGTCTCAACCCGCACTCTCCGTTGCACTCCCCTCCCTCCCTTGCACCCCGCAACTCTCCCTTGCAACCCGCTCTTCCTTTGGTTCCGCATCGCGACACAGTTCTCCCTCTCACACTTCCTGTGTGTGTGTGTCTGTCCCCGTGGCCCACTGCCCTGTGCGCGCCCCTGCACTGCCCGCCTCGCGTCCACCGCAGACGGCATCTTTGGCGCCATGATGGAGGTCAGTGGTCAGGGGTGGGTGGTAGGGGGGAATGCGTATGATGGGCGGGTGGTAGGAGGGGTTTTTGAGACGTCTCGAAAGCCCTGCACTCTCCGCCCGTCCACCACAGACGGCATCTTTGGCGCCATGATGGAGGTAGTGGGGTGGTCAGGCGGGTGCTAGAACGGGGGGATAGGGATGTGAAAAGAAGGTAAGGAGGGGCCAGGGGAGTAGGGATGAGCATGGTGTGCCGTGGTGTAGTACGGGGATGGAGTGGTGCATTCTCGGTGTGATGCAGGTGCCATGCATGGTTTGTTGTCATGCATGCCTTTCCAATGCCAGCCTGCCAGCGTGCTTGTGGATGCCCCACCATCACCCCATCCCTCCCACCACACCTGCCCTCCCCCCACTCCCACCTGGCCTGCCCATGTGTCCTCCCGCTGCTGGGCGTGCAGGTGCACATAGCCAACAGCGGCCCCGTCACTCTCTTCCTCGACTCGCGCAAGCAGTCAGGCACAGAGGGCAATGGGGGCAAGGGGGGCAATGCGGGCAAGGTGGGGCAATGAGGTGATGCGCATGGCTGGGGGTGAAGAGGGCAAGGGGGGTGGTGTGGCGAGGTGAGGGCCGTGGCCAGAGTGGTTCATAGCAGCTGGCTGTGCTGTGGAGCACCAAGCAGCTGTGGTGTGGTTCAGCAACAGAGGCACGCCAGCGCCAGCGCGGGTGGGTGGGCGCTCTGGAGGCATTATGGCATGGCATGGTGAGCGGCTGCCCTCTGGAGCGTGGTTATTGATCCTCCCTCCTGCTACAGCCCAGCGCTTTCCAAGGAGCGCATAAGACTAGTGTGGCTGGTGGTACTGTGGCAGCGTGCCTTGTATTGGCAGTTTGGGCTCACAGTCACAACCCTTGTATTCAAGGCAGCTAGGGCAATTTGATTGCACACATCTGATGAGTGATGTTTTGTAGGAATCTGCAAGTGTGTGCAAGCCTTTCACAGTACAAACAGCCCAGGATAGCAAGGATTGGATTAGAATCATTCTTCTAGTACTGGCGTGGCACTGTGCTGTTGCCCTCGTTAGCAGAATGGCACGTCTCATGAGCACATGCCTGAATTGTTTATTCCTACTGCACAGCACGAGAGTGCCAACAGCAGCATGTGACAGCACGCTACCTCTGCTCACCCCCTCCCCTCACTGCCTCCTCTGCTCCTACCCACGGGACATGAGTCTCCTCAGAGTGCCCAGCCCCAACCCCCTCTTGCTGCCCCCACTCCCCACCTCGCCCTGCTGCAACCCCCTCCCCCACTCCCCCCCCTGCGCTTCCCACCCCTCGCGCCTCTCTCCCGCGCCTGCCGGCCCCCACACGCTCCTTCCTCCACCCACCCCACCACCGCCATTATTGACGCCGCCATCGTAACTGCCCCCGTGGCTATGACCGTGAACATAACCACCGCTGCCCCTGGCGGACACAGCAGCAGCAGCAGTAGCAGCGGGCGCCAGTGGTGCCACTCTAGTGGAGCGCCGCGAATCACTGAGCGACCGAGGGATGCCCATGCCCATGCCTGTGCCTGTGCCCTTCCCCATGCCCACCTTGGCCCTGCCCCTGCTGCCACTGCCGGTACGCCACAGCATACCCATCAACCCCCTTCTCTGCTGCTGCCGCTGCTGCTGCTGCTGCTGCTGCTGCTGCTGCTGCTGCTGCTGCTGCTGCTGCTGCTGCTGCTGCTGCTGCTGCTGCTGCTGCTGCTGCTGCTGCTGCTGCTGCTGCTGCTGCTGCTGGTTCCCTCCCCAACTTCCACCTCCACTCCCTGCTCCCCCAACCCCTCCCGCGCTCCACCCACCACTACCCTCGCCACCCCACCCGCCTCCCCCATCTCGCCCCCCGCCCTGCACAGTGCTGCTGCTGCCACTGCTCTCCACCTCGCTCCACTCCCGTGCACCGCTCTGCACCACAGCAGTGCCACCTGCCAGGGACCAGAAGGAGCCAGCGGGCCTGTCGTGGGGGTGCAGAGGCCACTGGGGGTGGGGTGGGCAGTGCTGGGAGGAGGAGGGTGCACACCCACTGCCCGCATCTGACACCTGCTGCTCACTGCCTGCCCGCTGTTGCTCGCTGCCTGCCCTATGCTTCTCGCTGCTGCTCCCCACGTGCGCCTCCTGCGTCTCATGCTGCGGCCACCAGGGCTGCGGGGTGGTCTGGGGGTGCTGGGCGGGGGGGTGGCTCACATGATGGCGCGGGGGGAGAGTTGGCGGGGGGAGGGCGGGAGGGGGGAGGGTGGGCGGGGGGCGCTGCCCCATGGAGTGGGTGTGGGCGCGGGGGATGAGCAGTGGATGGGGGGAGAGCGAGGGGGAGGAGGGGGACGTGGAGGAAGGGGAGGCAGGAAGGCAGGGGAAGGAGAAGGGGGAGGCGTCTGGAGGGGAGGTGTGCGGGGGGGAGTGTGTGTGCTGGGATGCAGGAGGGGTGGATGCATGCCACTCGTGGCTCTTGGAGCATGCAGCAGCAGCAGCAGCAGCAGCGCCACGGGGCAGCAACGCAGCAGCAGCGCTGTCAGCACTGTGCCGCATCCACTCCGCTCCCACTGCCCGCTCCCCGTGTGATGCACGGTCCGCTTGGAACGGCTCCTCTGCAGCGAATGGTGACGCCACTGCCGGCCCCCCCTCCACTGCCTGTTTCCGCTCCTGCTCCAGTTCTCGCTCTCGCACTGCCATGTGCGCCTCTTGCTGCCGCCGCCCACCCTGCTCCTCGCCCTGCTCGCTCCTCCCTCGCACCTCCGCCTCCTCCTCCCTCTCGACACTCCGCCTGCTCTTCCTCTCCCCCGCTGCCGCCGCCTCCCTGCCATTCCTCTTCTCACCCTCGTCTTTTGTCTCCGCCACCCCTCTTGGCCCCTTTGCACCGCGCTCAACCCACTCGTTGTCAAGCACCCGAGCCACCTCCCACACCACCCCTGCCACCACCTCACTGCCCGCCTCGCCTGCTCCCACGTCCCTACCCTCTCCTCTCACGCCAGCGGTCTCACCTCCCTCCCCCTCATCCTGCTCACACCGCTCTGCACGTCTCCTCACCTCGTCTCCCCCTGCGTGCAACCCTGCAGCAGAGCCATCAGAACGAGAGGCGGCACGGCTGGCGTCTCCACGGCCCTCCTCCCCTCCCTCCCCTCCTCGCCTCACCTCCTCGCCTCTCTTCCTCTCTCCCCCGTCCCTCTGCCCTGCATCCCTTCTCACTCTCCCGCTCCCATTCCTAACCTCACCTTCACTCCCCACCCGCCGCACTTTCCCCCTCCTCTCCCCATCCCCCTCACCTTTCCCTCGCCCCACCTCTTCCGTTCCTCTCTCCGCCTCTTCCCTCTCCCCCTCCCACCCATTCCGCCTTAGAATCGCCCCCGCGGCACTGCTGCTGCTCCGCACCTCCCCGTTGCGCGCGCCCACGCGCCTCCCCGCGCGGGGCTTGCCCCCTTGCGTGCTGTCCACCACATGCATGCCCGCGGCCCCCCCGCCCTTCCTGCTGTGCGCCGCTGGCGCTGCCACTCGCCGCGCTGGCAGCTGCGGCACCACCACCGCTGCTGCTGCTGTTGGTGACACGGGAGGAGGTGCGGGCGGGGCTGCGAGGGCGGAAGGTGGCGGCGGGAGGAGCTGACTTTGTTCATTGGTCACTGTCGAGCTGCCCTCCGCCTTCTCTTCCACCACAACTCCGCTTCCCTCCGCCTCTGCCTGCTGCTGTCTCTGCCTGCCCTGCTGTACTTCCCCTTGCCTCTGCTGCTTCTCCCCCTCGCCCTGCGCCTTTTCTTCCGTTACTTGCACCGTCCATCCGCCTCCACCCTCTCCTCTTGCTGCCTCCGCTGCACCTCCGCCTCCTCCGCCTTTTCTGACACCTCCGCCTTCTCCTGATTCCGCCCTTTCTGCAGACTCCTCCCCTCTCTCCTCCCCTCTCTCCGCCCCCCTCTCCTGCACCAGCGCACCTGCCATTCGCCGCACTGCCACCAGTTGCCCCTCTCCCCCTCCGATTCCCCCCTCTTCCTCCCCGTCGCCCCCCCCCGTTGCGCCAGTCGCCACCACCAGCGCAAGCGCGCGAGTCAGCGCGTCCATCTCCCTCCCCCCTTCTCCGCCTTCTCCCCCGCCTACACTTCCCCCAACTCTTTCCCCTTTCCCCCTCCACTGCGCGCCGCCATCCAAAGCACGCATGCTGCCCCTCCCACCCTCCCCCACGCCCTCCATTCCCCCAACTCCCCCGTCCTCCCCCACCTCGCGGATCTGCGCCAGCTGCTCTCCCCCCATCACCGCGCGCAGCTGATATGCCGCCCGCCGCCACGCGCCTCTCTCCGCCAGCTGGCGCCGCCTCGTGCGCTCCTTGCTTGCGCGCAGCATGTCCAGCTCAGCGCGCAGCGACGCTGACATGGCGTCCCCCGCGTGGTCCCGCCGCTGCTGCACCTGCCGCCGCAGGCTCCGCGCCTCCGCCTCCGCCACCGCCGCGCGCTGCCGCCACGCCTCCTGCTCCTCGCGCACGCGCTCCACCTCCCCCTCCATGCGCGCCGCCAGGGCCTGGGGGGAAGTGGGGGGATAGGCGGTTTGAGGGGCGAGGTGGGGAACGAGAAGGGGAGAAGCATGACGCACACGGGAGCGGGAATGCGGAGAGATGCAGAGGGCAGAGAGTGAGATAAGTCAAGGGAGGTGGCACGGCTAACACGAGCGCATTCTCTACCCCCAAGCCCACATCCCAATCTCACCTGCAGCACGGCCAGGGTGCCATCGCTGCCCGCACTGCCGCCCTCGTCACCCGCATCGCCCCGCTCCCTCTTCCTCTGCCCACCACCCGCCTCTGTCTCCGCACCGCCCCTCTCCTCGCAGTCTCCGCCTTCCCCGCGCTCTACCGCGTGGCCTTCCATGCGCGCTGATACGTCCTTGGTCGTTGCCACGTCAGCAGCGATGCGAGCCATGGTGCGCTCAAGATGAGCCATCTGCAGCCGTTAAATTGCGAGGGGGCGACAGGAACAAGCACAGGGCGTGGTGGTGGTCAGAAAGGAGCAGGCGGAAATAGCGCGCAGTATAGGCACACCTCAGTGTTTGCACGGCACGAGTATAGATACACCAGCACACCAGCACACCTCCAGCGTCTCACCTCGCCCGCGTCGCGCAGTATCTTGCGCTTCAGCAGCCATGTCGCATCGCCGCCAATGCCGTCACCGCTGCCGCCGGAGCTGCTGGCGCCGCGCGAGGCGGAGCTGCTGGCGGCCCACGAGAGGCGCGACGACGACGCGCTGCTCGACTCCGCCTCCGACTCCGCGCACTCGCTCCCCGCGCCACTGCTTCCGCCCGCGCCCGCCTTCCCCTGCGCCTCCATGCGCCGCATCAGCCCCTCCAGCCGCTCCCGCAGCCGCCGCGCCTCCACCAGCGCGCGCCTGCTGCACCCCACGCTACGCGCGCCCACGTTCTCCCCTCCCATGCCATCCCCGCCAGCGTCACTAAAGCTGCGGCCGCCCGCGCTGCCCCCATCCGCAGCAACAGCGAGAGCGAGAGAAGCAGGCGCGGCAGTGGTAACGGCAGTAGAGGCGGCGGGGGGAGGCAGGGCTGCAAGTGAGCCGTGATGAGGCGCAATCAGCGGCGCAGGGAGGGAGGCGGGCACGGTGGCACGGGCGGGCGAGTCAACGCAGTCAATGGAGTCAATGGTGGCCTTGAGCGCGGTCGCCATGCGCGCGGCTCGCCTCATCTCCATCTGGCTCTCGCGCCACTCGCGCTCCACCACAGCGCGCTGCTCCTCCAACTCCCGCCGCGCTGCCGCCATCCGCGCGCCTCCCGCCTTCCCCGTCTCTTTCCTTCCGCCTCTGCCTCGCTCCTTACCCACGCCTCCCCCTGCCGTCCCCCAGCCGTCGGACCCGGAATCGGCAGCCCGCTCGTAGCGCGTGCCGGACTTACCTGCCGTCGACACTCCAACCAAATCGCCTCCACGGCTTCCAGTTTCCACGCTTGCGCCCTCGAAGTAATTATCGCTTTCCTCCTCGTCTCGCACTTCATCCTCGTCTCGCTCTTCCTCCTCCTCCTCATCCTCGTCATCGTCATCGTCGTCGAGCGACAGGCGCAGGTTGAGTGCCACGTCATCCGCGACGGGGTTGAAGAACGCGCTTGACCCGCCGCCGAACAATCCGCGGTTCGTTGGGTCTGGCACGTCCCAGCTATCGTCCTCCGATTCCAACTCGTTGACTCTCGTTGACCGCCACGCGCCGGCACCAACCAACGTTTCTTTTCTCTCCTCCGCCCTACTCTCCGCCTCTCCGTCGCTGTTTCCTACCCCGCTCGTTGCTTCCCCCTCGTCGTCACCCTCTGCCTCCGCCTTCCCTCCTTTGTAGCCAGCAATATCTGCCTTTCCGCGCGTCTCCGCCAAGCCTGCTCCGCTCGCCACATGGAACCGCGCTGTAGCATCGGACCGTTCATCATCCGCTTCCCCCGCGTCCTGCGCCCTGCGCGGGGGCGAGGGCGCCCTGTGCTCCGCGTTCGCCTGCGCGGCAGCGCCCTGCGACGCCCATCGCGAGGCCGCCACGTGCATCATCAGCCGCTCGTTCGCCCGCAGCACGTCCTCGCTCGCCGCGCCTTCTCCTCTTTCGCTCTCCGCGCCCTCGTCGCCGCGGGCGGACGCGCTCTGCGCCGTCGCGTCGTCGCGCGATGCGCTGGGCGTCGGCTGACTCGCGGCCGCGAGGCCCTCGGGCAGCCACGAGCGCACGTCCCAGTGGCTCGGCGCGCTCTGCTCGGCGCGCAGCTCCAGGGAACTTGGGCGGGCGGCGGGAGGTGGTAAGGATTGCTCGGAAGAGGGGGAGGCGGGCCTGCTGTGGCGGAAGAAAGGACGGGGCGGGGCGGAGGAGGGGAAGGGAGAGGAGGCAGTGGCGGAGCTGGCAGGGCCAGTGGAGGGAGCGGAAGGCGGAGGGTTTGCAATAGCGACAGGGGAGGCGGCGGTATCAAGGCCAGATCGCTTCTTGCGGAGGTGTCGTATTCGCGAGAGGCTGTCGGTGAGTGCCTTCATCTCCATCTCGTGCCGAGAAATGCCCTCCGACTCCATCGCCGCGCTCGTGCACGCGCCGAGCGGCTTCTAAAGTCAATGCTACCAGTCGCTGTCTTGTCGCACACTACCCAGAAGTGCTGAAGGTCAGATGGAAGAGGTGCTTGCTGTCGTTGTCACACTGTTCGTGTAAGCGTGAGCTCACGTCAACATCGCAACTCGAGTTACAAAAGAGCTAGACTGCTTCTAGTCCTTGTGTGACACCTCCAATCTCCTACGCTCACCGTCCCTTTCTTTCCGCATCGCATTGGGTTTCTCCAACCTTGATTTTGAGGAGCGCCAGCATGGCTGCCTTGCCTTCACTTGACACATTTGGCAGCTCCTCTCACATCCATTGCATTGCGTGATAGCGATTGCGCATTTCGCCCCTCTCATCTTAGCCCCCGCGAGCGCGACTTGTTCTTGGCATTGAGATCGCGCCCCGGCATGTGCGGGAGCACGAATCCTGTGCCTCGCGCGCATCGCGTGGGTCAAAAGTTTTGCTCCTGCCACGCACGAATCGATATTTCGTGGGTGGGCAGACGAGAAAATAGTATTTCCAGCTCAAAATGACCTTCGGGCTGGGTCAATGGTGAGAGGGGGGAATCTCCTCCCGCCTGAGATTGTTTCCTCCAGCCTATTCTCCTTATTAGGAATCATGGATGTTCCAGACAATGAATTCTAATTGACAGTTTATAGATCAGCTTTATTAGCTACTAGCCTTTTGGGTTGTACGACCTGAACCAGGTCTGTGTAGGTGTTTTTTAATAACCAGTTTTGTTTTGTACAGATTAAATTCTTGATGTTATCTCTAGGCTCCTCGTCCTTTTTAGGGGTCGTTTTGGCACATAACAGAAAGGATTTGGAATGGTAGCGCGAATATGATTTTGGATCCTAAGTAACATGAACATTACCCGCCTAACGAAATCGTCAGTAACGCGAATATGATCCTGGCTCCAATTTTTGCTTGGAAGTCCGTTGCAGAAAATTGGGTTTCTCCCGCTCGTCGAGCACATCAACCCAGATTGGCTCACCGCTCGCACTGTACCTTGGTTACTGCGGAAGCCATTCCCAAGGTCACAAGCTAACTCCTTTCGTACGACATAGGCTCTTGCTAGTGTTCTCCTGGTGGTTCTCAAGCATCCTGTGCGATCCGTCGCCATATCGTTAGGTCCGGCTGGTGACATAGCAGTGGCAGTGCCCGAATTTCCTTTTTTCTTTAGTGATCTCCTGCCGTCAGTAGCATCACCAAGACTATTTTGACGCCTAATAAAAAAGCCGCCACAATGATGCTCGGAGGGTCCAGATTGAGGTTAGTTCCGTGCAAATCAATGCGTTTTCGCAGGTTATGTGACAAAATGCTTCATTTTTACACGCATCTCGATCCTACAGTTATCCTGACCGATTGTTGCTCGGCGTTTCAGGGACATGATCCGGAATGTCCGTGCGTGTAAGACAGCGGCCGAGGAGCGAGGGGTGATCGCGAAGGAATGCGCGAATCTACGGACAGCGTTCAAGGAGAACGACATCGAGTACCGGCACCGCAACGTGGCGAAGCTGATGTTCATCCACATGCTCGGCTACCCCACGCACTTCGGCCAGATGGAGTGCCTCAAGCTCATCGCGTCGCCGGGGTTCCCGGAGAAGCGTATCGGGTATCTGGGGCTCATGGTGCTGCTGGACGAGCGCCAGGAGGTGCTCATGCTCGTCACCAACTCCCTCAAAAAGTGAGCGCTGCTGCTCGCCTTTCCCCCTCACACTGAATTCGTCAGACCTGCGCTGTGGAGTCGCATTCACGTCTCGTGATCGCTCTAGATTCGTGAATGGTTCGCACAACAGGTGTGCATGCAGTCAGATGGCCTCCCATCCGCCTTCCTCTGGATTCAGTTCACGATCACGGGTCGCTGTCACTCTTTCTCCAACCCCCTCGCATCCTCCTCTCTCTTCTCCCTCCTCCTGCTCCCATCTTCCGTCCTTCTCCTCCCCGCCTTCTCCCCACCCCTTTCCACCCCGTTCCCGCAGCGATCTGAACCACACGAACCAGTTCATAATCGGGCTGGCGCTGTGCGCGCTGGGCAACATCTGCTCCAGCGAGATGGCGCGCGACCTCGCGCCCGAGGTGGAGCGCCTGCTCAACAGCAACAACTCCTACATCCGCAAAAAGGTGACTCCGCAACGCAACCCCTCCCTGCACTCACGCCCGGACTGCCACTGGGGATCCATGCTTGCAGCTGAGACTGGATGCTGTACCCCATGGACCGACACCGCTCACCCGTCCTCCACTGCAATCACCGCTGACTGACACTTAATTCCTGCTGCCGCGCCCATCCCTTCTCCGTTTCCCTTCCCACCCCTCCCCACCCCTCCCCCTTTCCCCTCCGCGCTTGCAGGCGGCGCTGTGTTCGGTGCGCATCATTCGCAAGGTGCCGGACCTGGCGGAGTACCTGCTGGGGCCGGCGTCAGGGCTGCTGCAGGACAAGCACCACGGCGTGCTGCTGTCCGGCACCAAACTCGCCATCCAGCTCTGCGACACCCACCCCCCGGCGCTCGACTACTTCCGCAAGGTCAGATCTCCCTTCCCCCATCCCCCCTCGCCGCTGTTGACGTTTCTTCCACTGAAAGGGAATATTGAGACGTCTCAAAACACCAAGCTTGCCATAAAGCTCCGCGGGTGTTGCCAAGCTAACTGGCTGGTGGTGCTGGCTTGGCCGCTCGCCATGAGCAGGCTGACCGACTCGTTTCCACCATCGCTGCTCTCGCACCACCCTTCTCCCTCCCCCCCCCCCCCCCCCCCCACAGCAAGTGCCTGTGCTGGTGCGCATATTGAAGAACCTGGTGGTGAGCGGGTACGCGCCCGAGTACGATGTGGGCGGCATCGCTGCCCTCTCACCACCTTTAACCCTCTTCCTCCCTTCCCCCCCCCCCCCCTAAACAGCAAGTGCCGACGCTGGTGCGCATTCTGAAGAACCTGGTGGTTAGCGGATATGCGCCCGAGTACGACGTGGGCGGCATCACAGACCCCTTCCTGCAGATCCGCGTGCTGCGCCTCCTGCGCATGCTCGGCAAGGGCGACCCCGACGCCAGCGACATCATGAGCGACATCCTCGCTCAGGTACAGACGTACAGGCGTGCTGTCTCAACATTCTGCACTCCTCCGCGTTTCACCCTTAAGGCCTCTAGCCCGTCACTCTCTCAGCCTCTACACCTCGTCTCCCTGCACGTGCATGGTGTGTGCCTCCGTGTTCTTCCCCCCTAGGTAGCGACGAACACGGAGGCGAACAAGAACACGGGAAACGCCATTCTGTACGAGTGTGTGCACACCATCTTCGGCGTGGAGGCCATTGGCGGCCTGCGCGTGCTCGCCATCAACATCCTCGGCCGCTTCCTCGCCAACCGTGACAACAACATCCGGTACTCTACCTCTACCCGCCCCTCCCCCCTCCCTCTCCTCCCCGACCCACCATGCCCTGCCCCTCCCCGCCCTGCCCTGCTGCCCCGCCCCGTCCCACCCCGCCCTTGTTCACACATGCTCGCACTGCTGTGCCTGCTCCATTTGCATTGTGGACTCTTTTGCCATCTCCTCCTGACGCTGCATGTGTTCATTGACTATGTGTTCATTGACTATGTGTTCATTGACTATGTGTTCATTGACCATGTGTTCATTGACTATGTGTTCATTGACCATGTGTTCATTGACTATGTGTTCATTGACTATGTGTTCATTGACCATGTGTTCATTGACTATGTGTTCATTGACTATGTGTTCATTGACTATGTGTTCATTGACTATGTGTTCATTGACTATGTGTTCATTGACTATGTGTTCATTGACTATGTGTTCATTGACTATGTGTTCATTGACTATGTGTGGGCCTGTATGCGGACGGTGTTGCTGGTTTTGGTGTTGCCTTGTATGGGTGGGGGGGTACGGAGGTGTGTGGGTGCGGCTGTGCATGGGTGCGTGTGTGTTGGTGCGACTGTGCATGGATGCGTGCATGCGTGTGTGCGTGCATGGTGGCATGGCAGGTACGTGGCGTTGCACACGCTGATCAAGGTGGTGGCGGTGGACACACAGGCAGTGCAGCGCCACCGCAACACCATCGTTGAATGCGTCAAGGCAAGCACCACCTCTCCTGGCTTCCTCCCACACCACCCTTCTTGTTACCCTCCCACACCACCCCACCTGCCTCCCTCCTACACCACCCCTAAACCCCCCTCACTCATGCACCCCCACCATCGATTCCTCTTTCACGTTGTAACTGCCACGGCCTGACACTCTCACTGACTTCCTCGCTCCCCTCTCCACCCCCTTCCCACCCCTTCTGTTTTCATGGCTGCACGAGCAGGATTCAGACATCTCCATCAGGCGCAGGGCGTTGGAGCTGGTGTGTGCGCTGGTGAACGAGGGCAATCTCAAGGCGCTCACGCGCGAGCTGCTGGACTACCTGCGCGCCGCTGACTCCGACTTCAAGCCCGACCTCACCTCCAAGATCTGCGCCCTCGTGCAACGGTGCCGCCCCTCCCCCGGCCCCTTCCCCCACAAGCCCTCCTCCCCTCCTCTTCGCTTCCCTCCTTGTCTCCCTTCTCCCTCCCCCCTGTCGTTTTGTGTGCCATGTGCTGCCCGCCTTCCCTCATCCCAATTATTGTGCCATGTACTTCAAGGCCGACCTCACCTCCAAAAACTGTTCCTTCGTGCAACGTTGCCTCCCCCACCTGCTCCCACCCTTCCCCCACTTCCCCCCCATCCCCTTCCTCGCCTTCTCCTCTCCCTATTCTCCGCTCCCCCTGTCGTTTTGTGTGTCAAGTGCTGCCCGCCTTCCCTCATCCCGGATTGTGCTCCGCCATGTGTCCGGATGCCTTTCTGACGCGCCTGAAACATCAACCTGTGGTGTGTGTGTCCTGCCGGCCATGCATGTGGATTTGTATGTGCGTGGTGGGGTTGCATGTGCATGGGTGGATGCATGTGCATGGGTGGATGCATGTGCATGGGTGGATGCATGTGCATGGGTGGATGCATGTGCATGGATGGATGCATGTGCATGGGTGGATGCATGTGCATTGGTGGATGCATGTGCATGGGTGGATGCATGTGCATGGGGGGTGCGTGTGCATGGGGGGTGCGTGTGCATGGGGGGTGCGTGTGCATGGGGGGTGCGTGTGCATGGGGGGTGCGTGTGCATGGGGGGTGCGTGTGCATGGGGGGTGCGTGTGCATGGGGGGTGCGTGTGCATGGGGGGTGCGTGTGCATGGGGGGTGCGTGTGCATTGGGGGTGCGTGTGCATGGGGGGTGCGTGTGCATGGGGGGTGCGTGTGCATGGGGGGTGCATGAGCATGGGTGGCTGCGTGTGCATTTGTGTGTGTGCATGGGTTGGTGCATGCAGGTACGCGCCCAGCAAGCTGTATCATGTGGAGATCATGCTGCGAGTCATGACTGAGGTATGCCCCCTCCCCTCTTCTCCCCTCTTCTCCCCTCTTTTTACCCCTCTTCTCCCCTCTTCTCCCCTCTTCTCCTCCCTTCTCCCCTTTTCTCCCCCCTTCTCCCCCTTTTTCCCCTCTCTTCCCCTCTTCTCCCCTCCCCTCCACTCCTCCCCTCCCCTCCCCTCCCCTCTCCTGGCATCCACCACCCTTTTCCTCACATCATTGTACCTTGAGTTTGCACCATGCACCTTTCGTCTCGTCTTTCCGTGACTGAGAAGCACTCATATCTGCGCTTTTACTCGCTCACAACTCTTCACGCCTGCGCTTGAGTAACCGATGTATGTACATCCGTGCACGTACTCCCTCTCCCTCTCCCTCTCCCTCTCTGCGTGCCTGTGTGGCGGGGCAGGCAGGGGAGTATGTGACGGATGACGTCATCCGCTTCCTGGTGGTGCTCATCAGCAACGCACCTGAGCTGCAGGGCTTCGCAGTGCGCTCGTTCTTCCACGCCATGCGCTCCTGGAAGGGCCAGGTCCGCCCTCTGTCCCTTTCGCCCTTTCCCTCGCCCTCCGCCTTTCCACCCCCCCCTTCCCTCGCCCTTCCCTCGCCCTCCCCTCGCCCTCCGCTCGCCCTCCCATCAAACTTCCCTCGCACTCCCTTCGCCCGCCCCTCGACGTCCCTGCGCCGTGTACCCTCCCGTCCTCTGGAACACTCTGGTCAACTTTGCCTGCATGCATGCATGGATCACCGCCGCCTGGCTTCCACCAGTACCGCATGCTGCATGCTGCATGTGCCATGCGCCCTCTCTGGCGGCATCTTGCGCTGCGCCACTCCCTGTCCTTTGTGCGGTGTGGCAGGAGAGTCTAGGGGTGGTGACGGTGTGGTGTCTGGGCGAGTACGGGGAGATGCTCGTCAACAACACAGGGCTTCTGCAGGGCGAAACGCCCCTCCAGGTGCCTCCCTCCCTCCTTTGCTCTTTTAGACCCGCTATCGTTCCACGCTCCCTCTTCCTCACCCACACTTTCTTGTGAATTTCAATCTGAAACTCGATGCCATGTTTTTCACCAGCAGCAGAATTCACTCGAGCACGGTTTAACAACCACCCATGGGCCATGACCTCGTGCACCCCATTTTGACCCCAATTTTCCCATCCATCCATCCATTCATCCACCATGCACCATGCAACACACCCTGTCTGCCATGCACCCATCCCTCCCTGAAACCACCTGTGTGTGTGCATGCATGGTGGGGTGAGTAGGTGGCGGAGGCAGAGGTGGTGCAGATGCTGGAGGGCATCATGAAGGACACGCGCGCCACGCCCACCCTCAAGGCCTACGTCCTCGTCGCGCTCCTCAAGCTCTCCTGCCGCTTCCCCTCCTGCTCCCAGTGCGCCTCTCGCTGCCCAAGTTCCACCCTCTCTCTCTCGCTCACCTCCCCTCCTCTCTCATCTCGCTTTCCCCACAGTAATGCTCTCTCATGTGTGCCCAGCAGTTGTGCCTATGTCCCCATCACTTCTTGCTTCGCTTCACCATCTCCCTCTCTCCGCCTTCCACTTGATCCCACTTCAACTCACACCCCCGTTTCACCCGGTATTCTCTGCCCGCACCACTCCACATCTCTCCCCGCCCACATTACCCCCTGCGCCCACTCACAGGCGCATAAAGTGGTTGGAGGAGCAGCACCGGCACAGCCTGGTGTTGGAGCTGCAGCAGCGCTCAGTGGAGTTCAGCGCTGTGCTCGCCCGCCATGACAAGATCAAGTCTGCCCCGCACCCCCCCACTCACCGTTACCCACTCCCCACAGCAATGTTGCCTGCGGCCTTGCCTCCTGTTGTGACTTGTCATTTCACACTTTCTGCAGCGCATTTCAATAATTCTGATCACCCACCCGACACTGCCTTTTCCACACATCATTCATGCAGCCACGACACACCACACAGTCAACCACACTTGCCTGCACGCATGCATAATACAACACTCACACCCATCTCCTCCCTCCTCCCTCTCTTCCTCCTCTCTTCCTCAGAGCCACGTTGGCAGACAAGATGCCAGCACTGGATGAGGTGGCGTACCGCTCCAAGCGCGCTGACCTGGCGCCCGACGCAGCGGCGCGGGCAGCAGCGCCAACAGGGCAGCCGTCAGCCAATGGCGCGGCGGCAGCAGGCGGGGCGGTAGGTGGAGTGCGGGCGGCAGCGCCCCAGGCGCAGGCGCAGGTGTTAGCAGACCTGCTTGACCTCACAGCTGATGACTCCTCTGCTGCCCCTGCTGCCGCTGCCGCTGCCCCCGCTGCTGCTGCTGGCGGGCTGCTGGATCTGCTGGGAGGGGTCAGTGCTCCCGCTGCTGTTGCTACTTCTGGTGAGCCTCGCTTTGCTGTGCTCTTTTCTCTCTCTGCTCTCCGTTCTCCGTGCTCCCTACTCCATCCCTTCTGTCTGCTGCTTTTCAAAATCGCTAGGCATTCTGAACCCGTTGTGCATTGCGTCTCCCCAACCCAGCGATCCACCGCAATCCACCACTATTATACTCTTCACAGCTCACTTTCACCATCACAACATTCTCTCCCCTCCCTCACCAGCGCCGGCAGCAGGAGGGGCAGACCTGTTGCTGGACCTGCTCTCCCTCGGGGACGCACCGGCACCCCCTGCAGCAGCAGCAGCGCCTGCCGCCATGCCAGCTGCGGCCATGGACCCCCTAGCAGGCCTCATGGGCGGTGCAGCACCCACCCTCATCACCCCCACACCAGCAGCAGCACCCTTCGCCCCAGCCGCAGCACCAGCAGCAGCAGTGGATCCGTTTGGAGGCTTTGCGGCGGCGCCGGCAGCAGCAGCGGCGCCGGCGTTCCCGGGGATAGTGGCGTTGGAGAGCCGAGGGCTGCGCATCACGTTTGAGTTTGCCAAGGACCCTGCTGCCCCGCAGAGCACCACCATCAGTGCCACCTACACCAACTCCTCGCCCTCCCCGCTCACTGACTTCGTCTTCCAAGCCGCCGTGCCCAAGGTGCGTGTGTTTGCCTGTACCCGCACCCACCTTTCCACACGCTGGCGCCTGGCACGTGCCTGGCAGGCAGTGAGCCCGTCAGCCCCTTTGGCAACCCACTGTTGTGCGCCTTTCCCTCCTCTCCTCCCCACTCCCCACGTTCGTCCGAGTGCCCTTCATGCAGTTCATGCAGCTGCAGCTGGAGGCGGCATCAGGGGCGGCTGTGCCAGCCAGCAACAGTGGCAGCGTGACACAGACCATGCGCATCACCAATACCCTGCATGGCCAGGTGAGCTGTTGTGCATGGCCAGGTTAGTCGGTGTGGTGTGCATGGGCAGGTTAGTTGGTGTGCATGGGCAGGTTGGTTGGTGTGCATGGGCAGGTTGGTTGGTGTGCATGGGCAGGTTGGTTGGTGTGCATGGGCAGGTTGGTTGGTGTGCATGGGCAGGTTAGTTGGTGTGCATGGGCAGGTTAGTTGGTGTGTTGGGCAGGTTAGTCTGTCTGCATGGGCAGGTTAGTCTGTGTGCATGGGCAGCTGTGTTGTTGCGCATGGGCAGGTCAGCACATTCATGAATTGCGTGGACAAGTAAGATGCATGTAAAAGAGAAGAGTGCGATGCAGTGCGTTCGCTCTGATGCTGCCCACGTGCTTCTTTCCACAGCACCTGTGCCATGCAATCTGATGCGTGATTCTGATTGCCGGTGTCACTCAAGTACACCTGTAAGGGAGAACGTGGAGCTTCCTCTGAATCATGCTGCTGTGCGTTTACATGCCTGTGTGCCTATGTGTCTGTCCCTGTGCCTGTGGCTGTGCCTGTCTGTGCCTGCGCACGTGTTTGTCTGGGGGAGCAGAAGCCACTGGTGATGAAGTTGAGGGTGTCATACAAAGTGGGAGGCCAGGATGTCCTGGAGCAGGGCCAGGTCAACAACTTCCCCACTGGCTTGTAATGCACCGCACTGCACCGCGCCTCACTGCACAGCACCACACTGCACAGCACCACACTGCACAGCATCATGGATGTTCCACTATTGCACGCCCAGTCCTAAAATACGCACTCACTGCTTATTATGCAGAAAGGCAGTAGCAATTGATGGCTTGCAGGGAGAACCATACAGCAGATACATTAGTCTTATTGTACAGTAGTTGTTTTCCATGTGCACACTTACGTGACTCGTCATTTCCAACACAGCAAACCACAGCAACACAAAGCGAGATTCGCCGAGCGAGGACGCGCAGGACGCGCGCACTTTTTTCGCTGGGTTAGTACGCGCAAAACACGCACTTTTTCTCACGCGAGATTGCCCGTGATACCCGCAAGCAGCGGGTCGTCGCCTTATGCTCGCTCAGGATAATTGTCGCCCCTTCCATCGACGTTCGTATCCGCGTCGACCGCCGTCGATTCTCCTGGGCCACGGTGGGCTGGTCTCCTCGCGCCCGCTCGCAGCGCTGACTGTCCGCGCAGATGGCGGCTGCGGCACGCGCGTAGCGGCGATACGCGCGTAGCGGAGAACGCCCGCGCCACGCGGCGACGATAGATTATTAGCATTCGCTCGCTTTATCGCCATCGACCACGATGCAAGGTCAGCCATGCGTAGGCGAGCCGCCCGTTGCTCGCGCTGGTCCGACTCCTCCCTCGTGTCGCCAGGGCAGCGGGGCTGGACGAACGCGTGTGGCTACATGTCGCAAATATCATCTACCCTCGTCATCGTCTCATCCCGTTCGTCCTCTCCCGCCGTGCTCCCTTGCAGCACGCATTCGCCGCCTTTCCGCCTCACCCTTTCCCCTTCACCCTTTTCCACCCACCCCTTCCCCTCGTCCCTTCCCCACACCGCCCCGCCCTCATCCGTCTCCTCGTGCGTCCCCCCAAGCAGCGGTGCGCGCGCTGGTAGTAGCGCTGCTGGCGGTGGCGATGGCGGGCGGGGCGGCGGAGGCGCGGCCGGAGGGGTTCGGGCGGTGGTTCGTGGTCCCCGCGCTGGACGGCGAGGGGTCGTTCGCGGGCGCGTGCGGGCCGCGCGTGGCGGGGGAGACCCCCGCGTGCAACGTTAGCGGACGCAGCAAGGGGCACGAGCTGCGCAGCTACCCCGATGACGAGGTGCGCGAAGAGAAGGGGAGAGTGAGATTAGGGGAGCGGAAGGAGATGATTGGAAGGGGGAAGAAATGGGGGGTGGGGAGAGAAGGGATTGAGGGTGAGGGAATGGTGGGTGAGGCGTGATAAGAGCCCGTGAAAATGCAGGATTGGTGCTGGCGAGGACGGAGGTTGCATGCACTCAGAGCCATCAAGCACCGCGTCACCTTTGGCCCCCTCCCTCCTTTCATCCACTCACTCACGCTGCCCATACCTCCATGTCTCTCCCACTCCCCTCCCCTCCCGTTTCCCTCCCCCATCCACCCCCCTCAGGTGTGGGTGACAACGATAGTGGTGAACGCATCGTACGACAAGGCAGTGGAGGACGGCACGTGGCGCCTGCACTCCTTCTTTGCCGGCCACAACGCGCGCTCCGAACCCATCGCACTCACCGCCCCGGTCCTCACCATGCCGCGCCCCGAGGCAGCCGGCTACGAGGTCTCCCTGGTGGTGCCGCGGCGCTACTCGCCTGAGAGCGTGCCGCAGCCCACAGACCCGACAGTGAAGCTCGTGCTGATGCCGCGCGGTGTGGTGCGTGCTGTGCTGGGGCCGTTTGGAGGATTCCCCACGGAGGCGGTGTATGGCAGCAAGCTGCAGCGCCTTAAAGGGTTGCTGGAGCGGCGTGGCATGGGGTTTGATGAGAGCTCGGGTGCGTATGCGGGGTACAGTGGCCCGTACACTCTGCTTAATAGGAAGCAGGAGGTCTGGATCAGAGTGTTCCTGCCTACCTGATGGTGGGACGTGTTGTGTGAGGGCTTGTACAGAGGCTTCTTATAGTGAAGCCTAATGAGGATAGGCTAGGTAGTCTTCGTTACAATTTCCATGTGGTGGTGCTGATTGATCAGTGATGCACTAGCTTCCGTAAAACCATAAATAGGAAGCTTTACAGGTCTAGTTTGATAGAAATTGCACGAGTACCCTAGGATTGGCTGTGTTCCCGTGCTTGTGTTGTTGATTTGACATAATAATATAACTTCCTGCATCTATGATTCTCTCTCTTGAATGGTAATCAGGTTCGACGGTAACGTTTGTCATGGGGGATCTTTTGGCGAAGCAGGGACAATCAACCAATTCCTGGTGGCGAACCACCACCTGTGTGCTTCATGTCGTCCCTCGGTCTGCGCTGTGGTCATCGCCCAACCTCACCCCTTCCAGCGTTCCCTTCCCTTCGCCCCGCCATCGAATAGCTCTCGTCAAATCCCCTACTCTCCCTTCGTCCCCTCCTTTTCCCTCCCACCCCTCCAACGCCACTGGGACACCAACACTCAGCGCCATGGTTCTCAAGTCCGTACCTCCCAACCCTAACGCATGCTTCCCCTCATTGCTCGCTCCGATCTGACGTCGCGATTCCATCTTCGTGCGCCGTCTCCTCTTTCGCCCCGCAACTTCACCAGATTCCCCGCTCTTCCAGTTCCGCCCTCTAACCGCTAGTTTGTCGTGCTGCGTGCCGTGTCCCGTGCGTGTTGTGCGTGCCGTGCTGCGTGTCCTGCGTGCTGCGTGTGCGGCGTGGCAGGACGGAGCTCTGCCGGTTCAGCGGTGCCAAGATCTATCCCGGGAGGGGCATTCGCTTCATCCGCGCCGACTCGCAGGTCTCCCCGCCGCCCCACTCCCCATTACACCCACCCCCCCTTCCCCTCGCCCCCCCTTTTCCCCCACTCCCCCACCCCCTCCCACGCGCTTTCGTTGCCTCCCCTGTCTCGACGCGCCCGCACTTGTTATCTCCGTCAATCCCTTCGCTATTCCTCCGCGACAGTATCAGCTCTAGCCTGATTTAGTTTGCATTCAGTGGATTTTTGAGTCGGCTGACGGTGCGGTGGTGGTTTGCGTGTGGGGGATGGGCCGGGCGGCAGGTGTTTCTGTTCGTGAACGCCAAGTGCAAGCAGTACTTCCACAACCGCCTCAAGCCGTCCAAGCTCGACTGGACCGCCATCTACCGCAAGCAGCACAAGAAGGTGCGTCGCCGCGCGGGAATAGGTGTCAAAGTAGGTAGAAGCAGCGTCGCAGGTTGCAACGTCGAAGCAGGTCAACGGGTGGAGTGGAGAGCGATGGGCGGGGAGGGATACGCCGAGAGCGATGGGCGGAGTGGGATGGGAGGGAAGGGCGATGGGCGGAAAGTGGCGTGGGCGCGAGGAGGTGACGAGATATAGTGTAGAGAGGAGGCTCGGCGGGGCGAGGCAGTGGGGGGCCAGTACGGGAAAGGCAGGAAGACGGGGAAGAGTTCGGGGGGGAGACGAGGGAGGGGCACAGGGAGGAATTTAGAAGGAATGGAGGCAAATGGAAGGGAAGGCTAGCGGAGGAGAATGGCGGTTATCGGGTTGTGGAGCAGCAGTGGTGCTCGCATGGAGGGAGGAAGGGGAGGGCAGTGCAGCGGATGGCTGGGTGTGGAAGTAGAGTGGTTGCGATCATGAGATGCTGCGGGCGCTGACCGCTAGGAGCAAGACGCTTGGGAGTGAGATGTGTGAGGGACTGGTGGGAGAGGGGTATGCCGTTGGGAGTGGGCGAGCGACGGTCAACCATGAAGCGGGCGAGTGACACGAGGCAGCTGTCGGAATGGTTATCGACGGCTTGGCAGTGTTCGGTTTTGCGCGTCGCCATGAAGCGTCCCACGTTGTGTGTTATCCATGCGCGTCGTCGTGTCGCAATTGGCGTCGTCATGTCGAAATTCGCGTCGTTATGTCGAAATTCGCGTCGTCATGTCGCCATGCGCGTCGTCGTGGTTCATGTGCGTCGTCACGTCGCTATTCGCGTCGTCATGTCGTATTACACCTCCCCGCGTCGCGCCCATGATCAAATCCAGCCCTGCGGGTCCGTGCCTCGTGTCACTCGCCCCGTCTCTTAGTCTCTGTCCCGCCCGTGTCGTCTCCCGCCTCGCGCGCAATGCATCCGCCCACTTCCCTCCTAGACTTACCCTCCTCTCTCGTCCCACACGTGCGCCCCTTCCCCGCGGCTCCCGCTGTCTCCGCTGACTGCGCGCGCAGGACGTGCAAGCGGAGGGCGTGCGGCGGAAGAAGCGCACGGCCACCAAGGTGCACAGCCGCTCCATCGTGGGCGCGTCGCTCGAGGTCATTCAGAAGCGCCGCTCCGAGAAGGCCGAGGTCCGCGCCGCCGCCAGAGATGCCGCGCTCCGGTCAGTTGCGCCCCGTGGCCCCGGCTCTTGCATTCCCATGCCATGCATTCGCATTCCGTGCATTCCCATGCCATGCATTCCCATGCCGTGCATTCCCATACCATTCATTCCCATACCATGCATTCCCATGCCATTCATTCCAATGCGAGCCATTCCCATGCCATTCATTCCGATCCCATTCATTTCCATAATTCTGGTACGATGCATCCCGATGCCATGCATTTCCCATGCCATGCATCTCCTCTTCGCAAAGCTTGTGTGTGCGCCGCTGTGCCCCCTTGTGTGTGAGGCTCGCGTGGACCTTGACTCCTGTTGTGCTCACCACCTTCTCCCCGTGTGTGCGCATGCACTGGCGCATTTGACTGGACGGTGCATTGCATATTGGGAGGGAGCATGTGGGACCAATTGTACACGAATGTGTGTGTGTATGTGGGTCTGTATCTGTGTGTGCGTGTATGTGTGTGTATGCGTGTGTATCTGTGTTTACACCTTGTGTGTATATCTGGCGGCATTGGTGGGTGTGTGTGGGAGCAGTGAGATCAAGGAGCGGCTGAAGAAGGTGAAGGATGAGAAGAAGGCCAAGAAGGCAGAGGTGACAACCAAGCAGGCCAAGGCCGCTACCAAGGCGGCAGCTCCACGCGCTTCAGGGCCCAAGGGTGGCAAGGGTGCAAGCGGTGGTGGTGGCGGCAAGCGATGAACCATGCATGTACTGTAGTTAATCTGAGAGATGTAAGCTTGCTTTATAAGCTTCTTCAGGCCTGCACATGTATGGAGCAATGCATGAATATGCCGTGAATTATAGTCCAGCTCCATGTTCTGTTATTGAAAGATACGGGGTGGAATGCAAGAACAGCCCCACACGCAGAAGCTCAGAACAATGTAGGGTTGACATTTTCATGACAGGAAGCAATGTTCTGTATTATCCTGTTTGAAATCCCATCGTTTTGGCGAACTCGCGAAAATTTCACCACTTTGACACTGGCGACCTGTAACTTGTTGCGAAATACGTGCCCACCCCAGCCTGTCCAACGTCGTCAGTCGGCTGCGGTGGCCTACCACCACGTGCAAGCTCTTTCCTCCCCTTGCACCCAGCCATCCGACCGAACCTCCTTTCCCCGCGCTCTCTTTGAATGCGCCTCCCACAGCCTGATCGGCTCCTTTTCCTCGATACCTTTCCCTCCCTCCTAGCTTAGTCGCCTCGCTCCACCACGCCGCCACCATGGTAGGTCCGCTGCAGGTCACGACGTTTGTAACGCATTCCCTAGCAGATTCTAGATGCTGCGCGAATCGTTTTTTTTTTTAGCGGTTGAAGTTACCAGAGGAGGCATCGCGAATTTCTAATAGTAGAACAGGTCCATGTGCGTCCTGTTGTGCGTTCGTGTGCATGTGTTGCGCGTGTGCATATGCTGCGTGCGTGTGCGTGGTGCGTGCGTGTGCATGTTGCGTGCGTGTGCATATTGTGCGTGTATGTGAATGTCGCGTGCGTGTGCATGTCGCGTGCGTGTACATGTCGCGTGCGTGTGCATGTTGCGTGCGAGTGCATGTTGGGTGCGTGTGCATGTCGCGTGCGTGTGTATGTTGTGCGTGCGTGGGTGCGTGGCGTGCGTGTGCTGCGATGGTCGGTAGGCGCTCGTAGCGAACGAGGGGTTTCAGCACATTCTGCGCGTGCTCAACACCAACGTGGACGGCCGGACCAAGATCATGTACGCGCTCACCTCCATCCGCGGTATTGGCCGCCGCTTCGCTAACATCGTCTGCAAGAAGGCGGATGTCGACCTCAACAAGCGGTATGCCCCGCTCTCCCTCTCGCGTCGCTCGTCGCTCTCGTCGCACTCGTCGCTCTCTATGGCCCTCCTCTCTCCCGCCGTTCTTTACGTTGTACCGCATCCCACCATTCACCGCGTCCCATCACCCTCATCCTCGCGCGCGCCGTATCCCCTGCAATTTGCTGCTCCTCTCGTTTCTTCGTCGTTTCTGATGCGTCGCCTGTCGTTCCTCGCCTGATCGTTTCTTCAAATTTATGACTGCCCGGTGCTGCCTGCAGCTTCACGCGGGTAACCCTTGCTCGATTGCAAATTCGCATTGCTGCTACCATGTTTGCGCGACCAATCACGGCAGTATCATGGGTGCCAGCCCAGAATGTTAGCCGTATTGGGTTGCACGCGCACGCTCACCGCCCTTGCAGTGTCGTACCGTGTCACACCATGTGATACCATTCTCAGTATGGACGGCCAAAAGTTACAGGCTCATCACCACTCTTTTGTAGCAGTATTTCGAATTTAGGGTTTCATCACCATCCGCTTGCCTGGTCCGCTCATGCGCACGCGTCCCTTCCCCCACTCTTCCCTCTCCCCTTTGCGCGTGCGTGTGCGTGTGCGGCGGGTGCGCGGGGGGCTGGCAGGGCGGGCGAGCTGTCGGCGGCGGAGCTGGAGAACCTGATGGTGATAGTGGGCAACCCGCGGCAGTTCAAGATCCCCGACTGGTTCCTGAACAGGCAGAAGGACTACAAGGACGGCCGCTACTCGCAGGTCGTGTCCAACGGACTCGACATGAAGATGCGCGACGACCTCGAGCGCCTCAAGAAGATCAGGTACGTCCATTGCGCTCACCCACTTGCCGCCTCAATTAGATCAGGTCGCTTCGTTAGGCCAACCATCACCACAATTATGAGCATCATTAACACGGTCATAAACACCACGGTCATAAACACCATCGTCAACACCATTGGGTTTGTCATGTTAAGGGTGACATGGAGGACAGTGGAATGCATAGAGGGCGGAGGACGTGGCAAGGGTGCTGGGGTGAGTGAAATTACTGCTCAAATGACCCCTTGTTAGTGCACAGCTGCTGCGCTATTGCTGATTGACCTTGTCCACCTGATAAGGCTGAATTTGCGTGTGTGCCAATCAAGTCCTGTTTCTTGCTGCTTTGCATTCCCTGCCCTGCCTGTGGCGGCCCTCCACTTGCCGTTTCATGGCATTACTGCATTCCTGCATTCCCTCCCTGCAGGAATCACCGTGGGCTGCGACACTACTGGGGCCTGCGTGTGCGTGGGCAGCACACCAAGACCACTGGTCGCCGTGGCCGGACTGTTGGTGTCTCCAAGAAGCGATAGACAGCCTCTTTGTGCTTTGCCTTTGTATGGGAAGATGTTGTTTACAGGCTTGGATGCAATGCATTGTGTCATGAGTGATAGTAATATTGGCCCAAGTGCTTTGGCCAACTGCACCATTCATTGTTATCACTACCGATACCGTAAGCCAAAACTTTCGAGACGCTATTGATCAGTGGTGTCTGCATTGCTTCGCTTAGGTGGTGTCTGCATTGCTATGCATTAGTGCGATATATTAGTGTATCTGTATCAATCTATCAAAATAATGTCATATCTATATAGTCTTACAGGTGAATGGACAGCCTCTTTATTTATACTTACGCTTTCTTTAGACGATTTGAAGGACGTAACATATACGGACAGTTTCATCCCACAGATCTAAGCGCAACATCCAACAAGGGAGGCTTTGCGTCGCGGTTAACAAATGACAGAGCCTTGGTCTGGTCTGTCTTTGAGCACTTCCAAAGATGGACGCGGCGTGGTTTCGTCCCTCGTCATTCAGGTGTGGTTCGGTTGGATCAGGTCGGCGGTGGCGGTCAGCCTGTATGTACCTTCCTGGCAGCACTGCCAGAAGCAACTTTCGCATGCCATTAGCCGCGACGCGTAGCCTTGCTAAGGAGAGCGGGGACGGGTAATGTCGGACTAGAGCGCGGTCGTAGGCGGCGGTGGTAGTAGGTGGCGTATGGTAGCGGACGTAGGACTAGATGTCAGAAGTGACTCGTCGCCTTAGTATGCGCGGCGCGGCGGCTTGCGGGTAATAACCGAGAAAACACCAGAAAAAAACGGCTGAGCGGGATAAGCGGGATTGCGGTGAGGGCGGCAATGGCGGTGGAGAACGGGTCGGGCCGCGGGCGTCGGGGAATGTTTGGAAAAGAAAAGAAAGAAAGAAGGAAATAATCAAAGAGAACTCAGCGGCGCCTCTGTGATTGAGCTCAGCGACAGCGACGGCGAGCACGCGACGGTGGATCGACATCGCGCTCGCCTCCCAGGCCGACGCGTCGTTCCTCGGCGACGCCTGCTCCGCGGTCGTCGCCACCGACACCATGAAGAACACGGTGCGGGGATGATTAATCGCGACGATGCTCACGTTCGGGGATCGTGACGTCATGTGCAGTGCAGCGGTGATGCGCGAGGTGAGTGGAAGAACACGGTACGTTGACGCGCAGTGAGGGAGGGTGAGGGGTGCGCACAGTGACGGGGATGAGCCGCGTAGTGAGGGGATGAGGCGCGCAGTGAGGGGATGAGGCGCGCAGTGAGGGAGAAAAATACATATTTTCGGGAACGACTGGATATGAGAGTAAACTGAATCCACCTTTAGCGAAGCTTGCTATTCGCGTTGCCATTCATAACATCACAAACGCTCTGAGCGGCGAGTGGGGTCGCACTTGAGGCATCTCCTCACGGAGAGTGAGGATGCAGAGAAGGTGTGCTCTTTTCACATGAGGCGACCTTGCTTATGCGTGCTGACATGCCACACATGACATGACATGTCCCTGGTTATCATGTCGCACCTGCCGAAATAGAGTGCTGCGTGCATGGTACCACTGCCGCTGCATGATGGTACCGACGCTGCAAGTAGCCTTTCCTCAACAGCGCTCCTGCTTGCTTCGCGGTTGCTTTTCCCGTTCTCTTTGTGCGTGTTTCCATGCAGGTGTATGTGCTGGCGAAGCAGTGCACCAGTGAGTTACCACCAGAGCTGTTCGCCATAAAGCTGGGCGCCACTTTGTGTCCTTCTATGATGTGGTTAGTTCGCCCCCCTCCCCCCTCCTCTCCCCCCCACACCCCCAACGAGTGCACTATGCAGTGCACTCAGTCGCTCCCCCAGTGATGTGCTCAGCCGCTGGCCCAGTGATGTGCTCAGTTGATTGCTCGCCCGCCCAGTGATGTGCTCAGTCGATCGCCCCACCACTTTCCACCACTGCTTCGCTTCCCGCTGCTTCCTCCAGCATTTCCCCCCACTGCATGGAGCATGGTTCAAGTGCACGATGCTACGATTTCTCCCTTGTTGCCACACATGCCACCATGCGCCATGCACTTTCCATGCACCCTCTACACGCCACCACACATCCTTTCTCCCCAAAGCCCCCTCCCCTTCCCCCCCCCACACCAGGGGAAACGGTTACCAGCCGCTCCTCGCACGGTGGCGTGCGACGACAGCAGCGCCGCAGCACGACGCGAGAGGAGCGGCAACGAAGATACTGCGAGCACCGCCGGAATGGTGGCGGCGTTGAGCATAGCGGCGAGCGGGGAAGCCTCGCACTCGTGGATTGCCGACAGGAGTTGAGAGGGAATTGGAGGCGATGCGAAGGCACAGTGCTGTACAGCACGTGGAAAAATTTGACCCTCGCCCGAAATGGGTCCGCCGCTAGCGCATTCCGCGGGGTGCGTATGGCTGAAAGAAGCCGCTGTAGACGGCAGGCGGCCGCTGTGCGAACCAAAGCGGTGAGAGGATGATCGAGGTGGTGGGTGGCTGGGATCAAATGATGGATTGCAACAACTGCTCTGCGGAATGGTCTGTCACAATTTACAAGCCCCTCTCCCTGATACACTCCAGAACCATAAACAATTTTAGCAGTACTCTACAGGAAAGAAAGCACAATCTCCTTCCTTCCAGAGGAGAACGAAAACAGTCCCTCCTTGATCTTCTTACAAAATCTGGATGATGAAGGATGATGCAAAATAACCTACATTGTCAGTGTTCATGCTAGGCATATTACAGATCCAAGTGTTAATTTGTAGAAAGTACTTATACCTTTCAAAGTACTTACTTCGTCTAAATCGAGTTGCTATTGCCAAGACTTATCGCCAAGACTTATCAAGACTTATCGCCAAGACTTTCGACTCACCAAGACTTATCGCCAGCAGTGTTCGAAACTCATGTCCACGCCTTGTCTCGAGAATCATGTTTCGATTCAGCACTAATCAATGACTGCCGCGTCAGCGATTTGGTACCTCGCGCCAAAACCCAAACTGCCGAAGCAAGTTCGGCCTGATTGGTTTCCAGCGATTTGGTTCGTCGCGCCATGTCAGATCGAATGTCCTGAAAATGTGGAGACAGCAGTGGGGTAGTCATAGCTCCTCCATGCCTAGCGTTGACCTTGCACCCGCGTGGGTTCCACTCCAAACCTACAAATTACCATCTCACGGATGCTCTCGGGAACCTCTCGTTATCGCCTTCGGCAGTATATGTCCACTCCAATCTTCAGTACAACGATGAGTCAGAGGCCAGATACAGCCCGAAGGGATTGTGGAAGCACAGCTCGAGGAGCGTCACGCCATCCCTTACGCAATGACCTTGCTGACGAAATGGACGAGCTCAGGTGTTCCTTCGATACTCTGAAAGTTTCTCTGCAGCATGTGAACGAGGGGTGGAAAGAGGTACGTCTAGGACGTTTTGAACCATCTACAATTTCAACCTCCCTGACTCATGGCTCTTCAGGAAAAGTCGAAACTTCAAAATAAAGAGAAGCTTCTTCGGGAAAAAACGGAGGAGGTGTCTAACTTGAACGCGGAGCTGTCCTCAGTCAACGATAAATTGGCAGCCTACGAGAGGATGCAGTCCAGGATGCAGGAAGAGGTATCTGATGCAGCTCATTTTTACGGCATTCAATTCTTGGTTGATACAGTCGCACTAACTACCACGTCTGTGCGGACCAACCTTTGCAGAATGACAAGCTCAAGAAGGAACGTAAGGAAAACGACAAGCTTTTCTACTCTCAACAGGTACGTCTCTTCCATGGTCGTTTAACATAGCTCACCTAAGATTCTTTATCATGTGCTTGTCTCACGCCAGAAAGTGATCCGTCAACTAGCTGGAGAGTTCTTGCGAGGAGATTTCAAGTCGAGTTAGATAATCTGGAGGTATGGATTCTCTTCAGCTGATGCATAGAATGAGACAGGTCAGTCGCAATCCGATTATGTTTTTGTTCAGGAGCTATCACAAAGTGAGTACAGAGGGTCGTTCATTCTGAAGCTTAAGGTCTACCATGGTGCCTGAAAGAAGGGCTAGCTGGCTTCCAGACATGGGGGGTCGATGCTTAGTTGTTCCAGGATATGTCTTCATTGCTAAGTTTTAAACTATAGTAGGATCTGAATAATTGGTTAAAAATGAACGTAACAACTATTTGACCAGCTGTGTGTGAGCGAGCAAAATGCAGGGGGGAGTGGCCAATGGGTTGCAGAGGATCAAGCAGAGAAAGCAAGATGTTTGTTTCAAACACACTGCATCAAAGCAGTAACCATTCAGTTACCCAGATAGTATCCATGCGTGTAGTTACAGTAACCACGCAGTTACAAGATGGTACCGATGCGTGCGGTTACCCTATTTGCACAGTTACCAGATAGTTCCCCCACCGCTGCGCTGCCCCGTGCTGGTGCCGCTTCACATAGGAGCCCCTTGCCTACTCCTGCCAGTGGTTGAGTAAATGGGGAGAGGGAGAGGAAGTGAGGGCGATGGTGGAGAGGAGCAGCAATGCAAGGGGAGTTGCCAGAAGAGCACATGTGTGTGCTGCTGCGCTGCCCCGTGCTGGTGCCGCTTCACATAGAAGCTCCCAGCCCACGATAAGGGGGGAAGGGGGGAAAGAAGGCTGGGAAATGGAGGCAGGTGAGGTGATGGGAAGAGCAGCAGTGCACAGGGCAGGACGGCGACAATCACAGAAGCGCAGGTTGGCAATCACAGAACATACCTGCTGGCTGGGCGGCAGGGGGTAGAGGTCCCCAAAAATGGTGGCGTGTGCGTTGGCAAGGCCGCTCCAACCAGGGATCTGCACGCCCACGGTGCAGCGCGGGTCCGACTGGAGGTTGCGCGCATGCATGCCTAGATTGGAGAGCACGAAGACAGGGTCTGGGGGAGGAGCAAATGATGGAGAGGGAGGGGAAGAGAGGGAGGGCGTTGGCAAGGCCGCTCCAACCAGGGATCTGCACAACCACGGTGCAGCGCGGGTCGGATTGCAGGTTGCGCGCGTGCATGTCGAGGGGGAGAGCAGGAACACGGGGTCTGGGGGAAAGGGGAGTGGGGTTGGGGGGTGGTGGGGAGAGCAGGCAAACAAAGAAGGTCTGGGTTAAGGATCCAGGCTCCAGCCAGGGGAGGTGGGATCTGCACCACCACGGGTCAGACTGGAGGTTGCGCGCGTGCATGCCGAGCAGGAAAAGTAAGAACACGGGGTCTGGGGGGAAGGCATGGGCGGAAAAGAGGTTTGGGAGTTTGCGGGTTGCGGGGGAACACAGGGGACGCTGGGGCCTGGAAGGGTGGATGGGGAGGAGGGAGAGGGAAAGGAAGGGGGGAAGGGCGTTGACAAGGCGACTGCCTTCAGTTGGAGTCTTGGAGTCCGGACAACGCTCCACTTGGGGAGGAAGGGGACTTGCACGATCCCACTGGAGGTTGTGCGAGTGCATGCCCAGGGCGATAGCAGGAACACGGGGTCTGAAGGAGGGGAGAGGAGGGCGAGGTGGAATGCGGGAACGTGGTGGGGGCATGGCAAGGAATATGGCGTCTCACAGGCGTGCGGAGGAAGGGGTGTCTGGGGCAACAGGAGGGGGAGCAGCGAGCAGGAGGTGGGGCTGAAAAGGGAGTTCGGTTTAGCAGTGTGCCATGACGCCATGGCTCAACCTACCTCTCCTTCCTCCTGCCCACTCACTCCCATCCCCCATCCAGCCTCGCTCACCCACCCCTCCTCTTCCCCACTTCTTCCTCCCCATTCCCCATACACCCACTACCACCCCATCGCCCCCCACCCCCCATCTTTCATCCCCTCCTACCAACCACCCACTCATGGCCGTCAGCATCTGTAGTAAAGTCGACAAGGGACCCAAAGGGGTACCCCTTGCGGCCACCCCTTCACACACAGTCCCCTTCGCCCTCCCACACCCGTTCCCCCCACTCCCACAGAATAGATGTCACTGGTGGGGGGGGGAGGGGGAGAGGGAGCGGGAGGGAAGGACATGGGAGTGTTGAAGAATGGTCTCACATACTCAGCCATGCCAAAGGGCCCCACAAAGTAGATGTCACTCGGGGAGAGGGAGAGAGGGTGGAAGGGCAGGCGTGGTTTGTGGTTTGTGGTTTGTGAGGCGCCTCAACGATCGCACCTCACAAACCTACCTGCAAAGGAAATGGCGCTGGGGGTTGGTGGGAGAGGGAGGGGAAGGACGGGCAGGGGTGTGCAAAAGACAACCTTCATACCTTGAGCAAGCACAAAAGATCCACACCACCCACCGTGCCACCCCCCTCCTCAACAAAGTGAATGTCGCTTGGGGGAAAAGTCAGGGGCTGTGTTTGAGCGAGCAGCATGCAGGGGGGAGTGGCCAGTGGGTGGGCAGAGGATCAAGCAGAGAGAGCAAGATGTTTGATTCAAACACACACACATGTATCAATAATCAAAGCAGTAACCATGCAGTTACCAGATAGTATCTATGCGTGTGGTTACAGTAACCACGCAGTTACAACTTACAAGATGGTATCGGTGCGTGCGGTTACCCTATTCGTGCACTTACCAAACAATATCCATGCGGTAAAAGTGGAAGCTTCCCACCGTGCGCTGCCCCGTGCTGGTGCCGCTTCACATAGAAGCCCCGCGCCCACTCCTGCCAGTGGTGAGTATAAGGGGGAGAGAGAGAGGAGGTGAGGGCGATTGGTGGAGAGGAGCAGCAATGCAAGGGGAGTTGCCAGAAGAGCAGACGTGTAGCGGGTTGGGGGGTGGTTGGGGTGGCAGAAGAAGGTCGTCTGATCTGATGAGTCCGATTGGATGCAAGTTGCATGAACGCAGGAACCAGCACCCTTTCTCCCTCGATACCCATACCCACTCACTCGCATCCCCCGCTCTCCACCCCATTCCCCCCCAGCCCCTCCCTCTCCTTACTTCCCTCTAATTCCCGGACACATGCCCCTTTCTGGCCCGCCCTTCCACTCACGGCAGCGTCAGTGGTGCAGTCAACCAGCGATCCCGAGGGGTACCCTTGCGGCGGTGGTGCGAGCGGGGCATGATGGAGCAGAGCTGCGCCCGCCCCACCCAGTGGGCGCTCGTGGCGCTCTCCACTCCGCCTGACACTGGCGAGCGGAAGAGACCGGAGCGAGTGGCGCTTTCTACTGCCCCTGACACTGGTGAGAGGAACTGACCGGAGCGAGTGGCGGAGACTGAAGGAGAGGACAGGGGAGGGGAGGAGGAGGGGAAGGGGAAGGGAAGGGGAAGGGGGAAGGCACTAGAGACCATCACCAGTGGGAGTGGCAGCCCATGGGCGCCCCGTGGGCGTCCCCTCTCCGCCCCACACAGGGTGAGGTGGGGGAAGGGTGAGCCAGGGTCAAGTGAAGTGTGCGGTGACAGGAGACAGGGTGCGATGGGGGAAGGGTGCGATGGGGGAAGGGTGCGATGAGGGAAGGGTGCGATGGGGGAAGGGTGCGATGGGGGAAGGGTGCAGGGATTGAACTCTGGCAATCCAAACCCTGAGGGAAAAGCTACCTCACTCACCCGCCCTCCCCGCACCACTGCCTCTCACCCGCGCCCCCCACCCCCAGCCACTGCCACTCACTCGCCCTTCCCGCGCCACTTCCTTTCACCCGCCCTCACTGCGCCATCGCCTGCAGCGGTCACCAGCGGCGCCGCCCCTGCATCCGCTTCCCCCGCGCCCCCTGCAGCAGCTGCGCGCCACATCCTCCGCCTGCGGGGGGGAGCGCGCTGCGCTTGGCGGAGTGGCGCAGCAGTCGGCGTGAAGAGGGAAAAGTGGAGGAGCGTAGGCGCGCGCGGGGCAAAGGTATTCTGGAAAAGAATGAGAGAGGGGGGTTGGCGAATGGGGGAAAGGAACGAGAACAGGGAGGTGGGGGATGGGAGAGGAAGCAGGGAAAGAGAGGCAGGCGATAATGGAGAGAACGGAGCGAGAGACGAGAGCGGGAGGGACAACAGTAGGTGATTCGGAAGTGAGGAGGCGGAGCGTAGCCGCTCTTGTTCTGAAATGTCCTTCATATCGCAGCAGCGTATACTGCCCACGCCGCGTGTGAAGACGACCGTTCCAGCGTGCGATGAAGCGCGCATTGCTCGCGAAAACGCCGCAGCGCCGACGAACCACCTAATGGGTTCGCTCGTTAACGTCACACTCGCTAAGGGACGCGTTGCCGGGGGCAAGGCGGGGTGCACGCGGAGCGCCATGGTCCGGACTCGCGCGGATCGGGGAACGCTGCACGGAGTAGAAGGAACGATCGACGAAAATCACGGTAAATACCGCACTGGGAGGTGCTGATCGTTTCTTCGGCGGCTACCATTTGCAGGGCGGAAAAAATGCTCCTGGTGGCGACTAGAACATGCGCGACGCGGCTGCTGATGATATCTAGTGCGAGGGTGATGAATAGTGGAGAAGTGACATGACAACAATCAGACTTGGTTTTGGTCGGAATGAGATGGACCTCGCGGTTGGGGGGATGGACTCTTGAGATATACGTAATGTACTAAGTGTATCTAGTTGTTGTGATTGTTGTTGAGATACGCGCAGAATCTGGTGTGGGGGTCTGGTGCAAGACCAATCGGCTCGTGACAACCAGGCCAGAACGCTATTGAGTTGAGAATAAAATATGGCAGTGAGAAAGGTTCCATATCTATCTGTATGTAATATGAAGCTGCCTTTATCGGGTTGTAGAGGAGGCGAGTCACTCAATCACACCAAAGTAGAGGGAACTTGTTCGTAACTGCTTGCTCCTTACATTCCGCTACGATTTCTCCTCCTACCCCGAGTCGCATCTCCTCTCGCGCGCATCTCTCGCATCTTCACACACTTTTTAAATCCGTGGTCCGCTTCGTAGCTCCGTATGCCGCACCTCCGTCAAATATCTCCTTCTTAGATTCGCCCTTTCTTCAATAAGCAGTTCCTTTCTCCTTCAGGCCGTGCCGTAGTGTGCGCGTGCCAGTGGCGTGCGTGTGCGCGTGCCTCGTCCCTGCGATCACCATGCGCCGCTCACCCTCGCGACGATGCGACGATGTGACGGGAGGAAGGGGGAGGAGGGGAATGGGAGGAGCCGTTGAGGACGGGCTGTGATAGACGCGTGAGAGGCCGAACTCCTCTGCTGACATTGTCCTTTGCAGCGTGCGCCGTAGCTTTCGAGAAAGTTAGCTGTGCACCATACCCTGGTACATATCATCTCCTCTCTCGCGCCACCTTCTATTCGACGCCTCGCGATGGTACGCTCGTCTTCGTCTCCTGAAATTGGCTCGTACATATTTCCCTCTTCAGCGCCAGTCCGCTTTCCTGCCTCCGCCACTCCGCCTTGCCGCCTCCCCCCCTCTGCACTCCTCCGCCTCCCTCTCCGCCCTCCGCCCGCGCGCCATGGCGTTCCCGGAGCTGCTGGCGCGGCAGGCGTCCATCCATCCGCTCACGCTCGACGAATCCTAGGCGACGTTCGCAGGCCCGTGGCACGCAGTCGCATCCTTGCCCATGGGCGACTTCCTGCGATCCGTCTGGCTCGCCAAGGAGTCGCACATGGTCGACGCCGCGCACGCCGCCGGCGGCGGCGATCTGCGCGCGTGCGACAAGGCCGCGGGGCTGCTGCGCGCGCGCTCGCTGCGGCGGTAGAAGTCCACCGCGGCGCTTCCGCGCGCGCTGACTGCGCGGACCGTGGAGGACGTGTGGAATGACATTCAGGCGGAACTAGCGGGGGAGGGGGAAGCAGTGGAGGGGGGCGGAGCGTCAGCAGAAGGAACGCGCGGGTGAGGGCGGATCAGCAGCAAGCGCAGGGGCAAGGGCAGCAGCAAAAACGGCAATTGTAGATTGCGGAATTTACACCGGAAGGTTTTTTAGTGCGCGCAGGGTCAAAGAAGAGCTTAGAGGGGGGATGGAGACGGTAGGGGGAGAGCTGGGGGATGGGGAGGGGGCAAGTTGCGGGGTGGGCAGCAGTGCGCAGAGAGAGGGGGAGGGCGGAGCCGTGGGCAGGGAAGGGGAGCGGCGAGTTGAGGGAGGGCGGGGTGATCGTGGAGGGCATGGCGGGCAACAGGGGCATCGGGGTGGCGCTGGTGGGCAATGCACGCGGGTACAAGACAGTCATCGGCATCCCCGACACGCAGAGCCAGGTGCGCACACGCACCCGCACACGCACACGCACCCGCACGTGCACATGTGCAGCAATTTGCTCCTTCTCCTCTCTGCCCTTGTTACCCCCACTCTTCATCAACTGTGTGTGTGCGTGTGCGCGAGCGCGCGTGTGTGTGTGTGTGTCTGCATGTGAGCATGTGTGCGGGGCCATGTGGGGAGCAGGAGAAAGACATGCTGCGAGTTGCAGGAGCCACGCTGGTAGAGGTGCGTGTGCAGGTGCCAGCAGTGCCATACAAGAACCCCAACAACTACGTCAAGTACTCGGGCCGCCTCGCTCATGCCATTGCCAAGGTGCCTTCCTGCTCCCTCCCCTCCCCCCTTTCTTCCCCCCCCCATTCCCCCCCCTCTCCCTCACCAACCTCACGCTGTATGTTCTTTGCTTCACTTCTCGCGCATCCCACCGTTCACAGTGCACGCCATGCGCACTCCAAATGCTCGCTCCCTCCCCACCATGCTCTTGCTCTGATTTTTTCCCTCTGTCTATTGATGTCTCACTACGCGCTGCTCTGAGTGTGGTGATTGGTGCTGCAGACCCAACCCGGCGGTGCCATATGGGGCAACCAACCAGGTGAGTGGGCAGGATGTTGGGGGGAAGCAGGTGGTGTGAGGTTGATGGGATTTGCTGGGTGGGCTGTGCTGCACACTGCATGCTCTGCTGCATCAACTCCCACGCTCTCACTGCTGTAGCTGTGCTCCACGCCCCACTTCCCTCCCCATTCTTCTCATCCATTCTCTGACCCTGTTTTACTGTTCTAGCTTTCTTGACCTACAATCTTAAAGTCCCACCTTTGTCCTGGCATGCTCGTGTGCATGCTCGTGTATACTCCCCCGGTGCCGCCCTTCAGTTTGACAATACTGCCAATCGCCAGGCGCACTATGGGACAACGGGTGAGTCGCTATCCCCCTCTCCAAGGTCCCCATGTGCACGCATCCCCGCACATCCCTTTAGCCGCCGCTCCTGCATCCATCTCCTGCACTCCTGTTCACAAGCATCGTCGCTGCCTGTGCATGCGTGGTGCTGTGTGTGTGTGGTGCTCTGTGTGTGTGGTGCTGTGTGTGTGTGGTGCTGTGTGTTTGTGGTGATATGTGTGTGTGGTGCTGTGCGTGCGTGGTGCCGTATGTGTGTGGTGCCATGTGTGTGTGGTGCTGTGTGTGTGTGGTGCTGTGTGTGTGTGTGGTGCTGGGGAAGAGGGGGTGGGGGAGAGGTGAGGGGAGTGGCGACACGGCAGGGCAATACGGCTGCTGCGGCGAAGGCTTGCTAAATGGGATGGATATGGGGCAGACGAGGCGAGGCAACGACATGCGAGGCGACGACAGGCGAGGCGACGAGACAGGCGAGGCGATGATAGGTGCGGCGAAACGATGAGAGGAGGAGAGGCGAGTGGATGGGACAAGAGGGAATATAGAAGTAACGGCAGAATAGCTCGTTAGAAACAACGCAATGGCAGAGGGGGGTCTGTCGCTTCGTGCCAGGCCTTGCGAGACGATATAGACCTTGATGTTTTGTGAAGTGTGGGCGGCTACAGTATTGGTAAAAGACTGGTGAGGCTAGAGCTGAGGTGTAGTTTGTAGTGTGTCACAAAGAACACATACTGGTAAAACTGCTAGGTCTCCCCTGGTTGAAATACAGCCTGGCAAAATGCTCTCAAAGTCTTGCTTACAAGAAAACGAATCCGGAACGCAAATGAATATAATTGTGCGGCATTTCTCTTTGATGACCTCGGCTATTCTATGAGCCAGCTAATAGACGGAAAAAACAACCATAACTACATGGCACTAATGATGCTAATGATCTGGGCTGTCTCATGCTGTACTCTTTTTACGGATCAGAGTAGGAAACTCCGACGTTTTCCCCCTGTCTTGCCACCGATTTCACTCGCATCACCATCCTTGCTCTTCCTCCTCACGTTCTTCACACCCACACTGATGCTGCAGGGACGCTGGGGGGGGGTGCCCCTGTGTTACTGCCACTGACAGCAGTGCCACCACTACCAGCAGAAGCGGCAGAAGCAGAATGAGTAGCCGTGAAGCTCGTGCTCCCCTCGCTCCGGCTGCTTCTTGCAGAAGCACCACCACCACCGTCACCACCACCACCTCCTCCCACCACAGCATTGCTACTCCGGCTTCCCTCAACCTTTCTCCCACCTCCCCCACCTCCCCCATTGCCACCACCCGCACCTCCACCTGCTGCTGGGTACCCAGGAGGAGCGGGTGAGGCTCCTTTCGAGGCCAGCTGGCCTTTCAGGTGCTTGATAGTTTCGAGAATAAGCGCCACAAGCGCCGGCGTTTTGAACGGCTTGGTAGCATACGCATCCATGCCGGCCTCTGTGCAGAGGTCCCCGTATTCCGCCATGTTATGGGCTGTCAGCCCCACGATCAGCATATGGGCTGTCAGCCCCACGATCAGCATATGGGCTGTCAGCCCCACGATCAGCATGTGCTGCTGCCGATGGGACGGGGAGGCGCCTGGGATGGGATGGGACGCATGGCGGTGCTGCGGGGAGGGATGCCTATTCTTGGAGGGTCTGCGAGTGCTCAGCAGCAGCAGCGGCAGCGGCGGCTGCAGCAGTTGTGCTGCTGCTTCCACCAACATTCAGCCATTGGGTTTCACGGGAGCTGCAGCGTCAAGAGTGGCTGCAGCTACCGCAGATGGTCGATATGCTCTTGACTTGACTGCTGGCCTGTCTGGCATCTTGTCCTTTCCTTGTGCACTACATATATCTCCCAGACCAAGCAGCTTCATTGATGGCTGCTCCTACCGTAGTTATGTACGACATTACCATGCTGGTCTGGTCTGCTTATGTGTAATATTACCATGTTGGTCTGGTCTGTACATCCAACTAAGAATCAGCAAACAACACTTCGGGTTTCAAACAGCACAAGCATCCAAACAACACTTCACGTGTTCCATACACCTCATCAACCCCTCCTCCTCCTCACTCTCCTGCCTCCCTCCTCACTCTCACGCCTCAGTTCGTTCTCTAGCAGCATGTATTCAAGAATCAGATCCATGTTGTCCTCTGTCACGAACGACAGAGCGTCCACCACCTCCGACCATTCCAAATGGGCAGGCTTCGTGCCGAGCTTGGCCGCCGCCTCAAACTGCGGCGGTGAAATGAATGCATGTGGAGTCGGAAGTTCTTGCCCCAAGAGTACATGGCTGAACTCCGACAACCTCCCGGCCGCATTGTATTCCTCAAGAGTTTCCACTCTGAACCGATCCCGACCGCTTGACATTCGGACCGTATAGCTTGCCGACTGGAAAGAACAGTTGGGGATGTTGCAAACCCCCTTCACCCCGGCTACAGGCTCACCTTCTTTTCGCCCCTTCGGGTCGAAAGAAGGCCTCCATTGTCTCCCATCCTTGCCCGATATCTCTCGGCTGAAAATATCACCCCCTCCTCTCCCTCCCTCACCCTCTCCACCCCTCTCACCCTCTCCCCCTCCCACTCCCCCTCCAGCTCCCAAACCCCCTTCCTCTCCAGCCTCCTCTCCCCACCCACCCCCACCCACCCCTGCCCTTGCTCCTCGTCCCTTCTCACCACCCACTCCTCCTGCCCCACCCACCAGTCCTCGTACTCCCCCTCCACCATCACTTCCCTCGCCACCGTCTCCCCTTCCTCCGCCCTCTCCCCCCTCCCCCCAAGCCCCTCCCCCTCCTCCCAAGCCCCTCCCCCTTGCAGCAGCGGCCCCTGCATCAGCAGGCTCTCTCTTGTGGCCCGCTCCTCCTGCATACCGTGGGGGCCAACAGAGAGTGTGGGAGTGGGTGATTGAGATGTGTGACAGGGACAAGGAGAGGGAGAGGGAGAGAGAGAGAGTGAGAGCGAGAGGGACAGGGAAAGGGAGACAAACCGAGAGAGAGAAACTGCGAGAGAGAGAGAGAGAGAGAGAGAGAGAGAGAGAGAGAGAGAGAGAGAGAGAGAGAGAGAGAGAGAGAGAGAGAGAGAGAGAGAGAGAGAGAGAGAGACACTTGGGCGCCATCCACCCGCGGGGGACCGAGGAAACTGCACGCACTTGGGCGCAGGCCTCGCTCCCTGTATCGCTCGGTGGCCTTGGCCTGATGGACCCGTCCGTGGAGGGAAGCTACAGCTTCCTCGCCAGCTATACGCAGGCTCATCTCCTCCTTGACTCCCTCGAGGGCGACTGCAGCGGCCCTCTGGAGATCGTCCGCGAGCTGATGCGCGGCCCCTACACTCAGTCCTCCCCTTTGACCGAGTGGTTGGCGGAATGCGAGGGGGAGCTTCCACTGCCGGCCCAGGAAGCGTTGCAAGCGGAGAGAACTGCCCCAACCGCAGGAAAGCTGCAGCACGGGTTAGCCACGGCTATCCAGGGCCAGCGCTACGCAGTCCAGGTAGAGGAGGTGCGGGGGATGAGCCCGAACCCAAACAATGGTCACACGCAGCGGCTGTTGTCCCTGTCGGGGTACGGGGCGGGGGATTGGTTAAACGCGGTGCCTCTGCACCGGGCGCTACACCTCGAGGCTCCGCACTACGCCAATGCGCTCCAGTTTCGGCTGGGGCTCCCCTTTGCGGCGCCCGGGGTCTGCAATTGCTCAAAGAAGGTGGAAATCCCAGACAAGCGGCTCCCAAATCACCTGCTACGATGTGGGACAGGGGGGGGCGCACAAATACAGACAATGAACTCAGAGATGAGTGTGCGCGAATGGCGCGCGACGCAGGCTTCATGGTGCACATTGAAACGGCCGCATTCAGCCCTGTGGAGGAGAAGAAGGCGGACCTGGCCCTCCGCTGCCGCTCAACAGGAGCCGTCTACATCTGTGATGTGACGGTGACGGACCCCATCAGCACCCGCGACGAGAATGCAACTAAGGGGCGGGGGTGGGCGGCACGGGAAGCAGCAGATAAGAAGCACGGCCTCTACAGGGACCGCCCAGAGTGGGTGAAGTTTTTCCCGCTCGCGGTCGAGACTTATGGGTGCCCATGCCCCGAGACAGTGGATTTCTTGAAGCTGCTCGCGGAGACGGCTGCAAGGCGGTTTTTCAACGCCGAGCCAACCTCCTACCAAGCTGCCAAGCTCTTACACCATTTCCGGCAGCGGTGGTCGGTGGCTCTTCAAAGGGGCCAGTCTATTGGATATTTAGAGAAGTGCAGCATAGCGGCTGCAGTGGAAAACCCACTGCTGGAGGCAGTGGGTGAGGCTCCGTCCCTAGGGGACTGCCTCTCGGTCCTTGATCCTGCGCTGGACCTAGGTTAGAGAGGGGGGGGGGGGTGATTGATAGGGGAGTAGTAAGAGGTCTTATGCACCAGACTCACACTAGCTGCCATCTTGCTTGCCTGTAAATCCTATGTTATTCAATGAAAGGGCCATTCGAGAGAGAGAGGACTGGTGCGAGGACTGCAGCTGGCGGCGTGTGAGGGGGAGTACGAGGACTGGTGGGTGGGGCAGGAGGAGCCTGCAGCTGGCGGCGTGTGAGGCCATGCGTCACACACCGAGCAGTTTTGCTCAAGGGCCCCAAGGACAGTGCGTCACTTGGGCAGGAGAGATTGTCCCCCTTTTAGTGCCCGTGTCGGATGCGCCCGCCTATTCCTCTCACTCACCAGCTGTGCTTCCAATCCCTTCACCTTGCTCTCAAAGTCCCTTGCAATCCCCTGCCACGACGAAACTTGTGCCTTTAAGGCTTTGTTAGCCTGCAAGGCACAAAGGGAATGTTTGGAAACGGGTTTTAGAACAAAGATAGGAAGGGATGGAAAGGGTACTGGGCATAAGAATGGGGAAATTTCAGACCTTTATACAGTCCAGAGTCAGGACGTCAAAAAAGAACAGCAACGAGAAATCAAGTGAAATCGCGACTACATGATGGTCTACGCTTAAGACGCAGCCATGGCAGCCTTAATGACCAACAAATCAGCAAGGTGACATTCGAGTCAACTCTATAATCCTTCCTCATCCCCCTCTTCCCTCCTCCCCACCCTCCCTCTCCCACGACAGGTTTCTCCGACTGCCAGAGGGCAGCCATAACAGCCTCAATGGCAGACAGGGCAGCAGAGCTGGCCCCGGCCGGCCCCTCAACGTGCCCCCGCCCCCCTTCGCCCGCTGGTTCCTCGGTGATTCTGGGGGCAAGGGCCAGCAGGTGCGGGACCACGCCACTTACAGCGTGACAACACCACTAACAGCGTGACCACACCACTTACAGCGTGACCACACCACTAACAGCGTGACCACACCACTTACAGCGTGACCACACCACTAACAGCGTGACCACACCACTTACAGCGTGACACACCACACCACTTACAGCGTGACCACACCACACCACTTACAGCGTGACCACACCACACCACTTACAGCGTGACCACACAACACCACTTACAGCGTGACCACACCACTTACAGCGTGACCACACCACTTACAGCGTGACCACACCACTTACAGCGTGACACACCACACCACTTACAGCGTGACCACACCACTTACAGCGTGACCACACCACTTACAGCGTGACCACACCACTTACAGCGTGACCACACCACTTACAGCGTGACCACACCACTTACAGCGTGACCACACCACTTACAGCGTGACACACCACACCACTTACAGCGTGACCACACCACTTACAGCGTGACCACACCACTTACAGCGTGACCACACCACTTACAGCGTGACCACACCACTTACAGCGTGACCGCGCCACACCACTTACAGCGGCCGTTGCTTTGAGAAACTACTAAAAAGTTTTAGCTTTTGACTTGCAAGTTCCCCAAAGGGCTGGGTGCTGGGTGGGCGCTAGGTGGGTTGGGTGGGTGCTGGGTGGGTGCTGGGTGGGTGCTGGCAATGACTGCTGTTGAAGAACATGCACACGCATGATTAGTGATAGATTCCTTGGCCCGCCTGCCACCCTTCCACCCCCTCCTGAGCCTACCTTTCGAAGGTAGTTTCGCTCGGCAATCAGTGCCTTGAGCTCGTCGTCCTTCTGCTCGAATTGAACATCTCCCTCTCCCCCTCCCACTCCCCCTGCAACCTCCTCTCCCCCTCCTCCTCCCCCTCCCCCTCCCTGTCCCCCCCCTACTGCCCCTTCGTCTTTGCCATACTCTTTCTGTTCATCTCCCCCTTCCTCTCCCTGTCTTCCTGCCCTTACCCTTTCCTCACCCCCTGCCCCTGCCCTTGCCCCTTCAGCCCCATCCTGCTCGCTTCCCTCCTCCACATCTGTCATTTCCGGCTGCTCGTTGAATGAGAGGCGCCGTGGCCCTGAGTGCTGCGCCAGGAGCTCAGTATGCCTCTCTGACTGCTCAGCACGTGAGCCAGGAGAACCAGCAGAAGTGCTGCTGGGGGCAAAGAACCCAGTAGAAGGCCTTCTGAAGTCGCTGCTGGGGGTACGGAACTCATTAGACCGCCTTCTGAAGTTGCTGCTGGGGGTAAGGAACTCAGTAGAAGGTCTTTCGTTGTCGCTCATGGTGCTGTTGGAGTTGAAGTTGGCGCAAGTGTTGCTGTTGGCGCCGCTGGTACTGCGGATGCTGCGGTTGCTGGTGGAGTTTGCACCGCTGCAGACAGCTGGAGCAAGGGGAGTTGCAGAGTGGTTGCTATCTGCAGGGCAGGGAGGTGGAGGGTATGGTGTGCAAGGGGGGAGATGCAAAGAATCATGGGCAGATTGGAAAAAGAGAATCTGAAGAGAATCTGCAGCGTGCCAGAGTGAGCAGGGGGGTGACGGGTGGTGTTTGTTATCATAGTAAGTAAACCACACTATCCCTTGCTCCCCCCTCCCCCTTAACCCGTCCCCCCATTCCCCCTTCTTGCTTCCCCCTTTTCCTCTTCCTACTTTCCTTCCCCCAGCTTCCACACTTCCCCTCTACTCTACTCATGCAACCCAACGCACCCGAAGGTGAGACGAGGGTTGACGGGTGGTGTTTGTTATCATAGTAAGTAAACCCACACTTGGTCCGACAGCAACAACAGCACCCCCCTCCTTCCCTACCTTTCCCTTCCCCCTGCCCTTCCCCTCCTCTCCACCCCACCCATGCAAAGCAACGCACCCAAACGTGAGCAGAGGGTTGACGGTGGTGTGATCAGAGTGAGTGAACCACACTTGGTCCGACAGTAACAGCCCCTCGCTCTTCCCTGTGCTCGTCTTGTCGCCGCTCAGCAGCATGCTCCCCGGGGACCGCAGAGGGCTCTTGGCAATGGGGAACGAGTACCTACTACTACCTACCGGGCAGACGATTCAAGTGTTGACAAGGAATGATGTAACAAGCAGAGAATCCGCGAGGGCAGCGGCGTAGTGAGGAGCTTCGGTGAGAGAGCGAGTGATGGAGTAACCTGTGGGGGAGGGGGGGAGAGAGTTGGGCGGACGAGAGAAAGGGAGGGGAGACAATCGAAATATACAACATTTACACCTTGATCAAGAGTGATCCAGATGTAACAAGCAGCGAAGCCGCGAGGGCAGCGGTGTAGCGAGGAGCTTCAGTTACAGACCCAAGACCTTCTCATAACTCACAGCCCCACAACCCCACTGCACCTAGATCATGAACTCACAGCCCCCCACCAACCTACCTGGAGTTGCAGCTTGTAGTGAGCACAGAGCAGCAGCGAGGGCAGCGGCGTAGTGAGGAGCTTCTGTGCGAGAACGATGGATTAGCCTGTTGGAGGGGGGAGGGGGGGGGGGAGAGAGAGTTGGGCGGATGGAGTGGTGGGGCATGCAGCACGGCACGGCATGCCTCTGGGCGCGGGGGGGATGCTGACGAGGTCGAACTGCCCCAGCAGCTTGTTGTCTGCCTCGCCCTGCACCACTTTGATGCCCACCTGCGTCTGCCCGTCCTCCGCCGTGGAAAACACCTGATAGTAATAAGAGAGTAGACGGAAGGGAAAACAGTGACAGGGAGATTAGGAGCAGGGAATTTGAGTGAGTTTGAGTGAGCGAAGTGTTTGTGAATGTCTGCAAGTATGTGCGTGTGCGAGTGTATGAGTGATGCGAGTGGGTGCGAGTGATCGAGTATACGCAAGCATGTGGGTGTGAGTGCAGCGAGTGCGAGTGAGTGCAAGTGAGTGCAAGTGTGTGCAAGTGTGTACTGAGTGTGTGCGATTGTGTGGGTGTGTACCTTTGGCTGGCTTGGGCGACTTCGTCCCTTCCTGCACAAACCGTTTTCCCCCTGCTGCCGATCGACTGGCCCCTGCTGCCGATCCACTGGCCCCTGCTACCGATCCACTGGCCCCGCTGGCAGGAGCGTTGGTGGACGCTGGAGGGGAGCAGAAGAGCAGGGCAGGGGCAGGGTAGGGTAGGGCAGGGCAGGAGTCAGGGAGGGGGAGGAGATGAGGAACACGCAAGAGAATGCGAGCGCACGATACTAAGGAGAGGGGGGACGGGGAGACAGTCATTCCATACTTAGGAAAAGGGGAACGGGAAGAGGAGGAGGAGGAGCCATCCACTCGCAGGGGGGATGCTGTAGCAGCAGCAGCTGTACCAACAGCAACGACTTGTTCGGCTTACCTTAAGGACTTCACGTAGATCTGGTTACAAATGTTAGCAAGGTAGTCTTGTAAGGGCAGAAATCGCGTAGATCCGGGTGAGGATGCGAGAGGTCTTCAAAGGGCGTACTGGAAAACGATCTTGCTAAGGGGTGTAATATGATATAAGTGGTAAAAACCGAGTGTGCTCTGCAGCTCTGGTGTGGCACGCTACCATCACAGCATGTCTCGATTGGTTGCGAATTTCCCACATGATACCTACCGGGCAGCAGGTGTGGTGCGTCGGTCTGATTCCCTCAAGCACCTCCTGTGTGTTCCTCGCCTTGGAGGCAAACACGCGGGTGGGTGGGGGACATGTGTACCAGAATACGCCTACCCCACACACTACCTACCTGGCAGCAGGAGTGGGTGTGTCAGACTGATTGCTTAGTGCAGCGCGTAGTGAGGATCTTTCGTGCGAGATCGAGTGATGGGATTACCTGTGGGGGGGGGGGAAGAGTTGGGCGGATGAGAGAAAGGGAGAGGAGACAATTGAAATATTGACAATGAATGACGTCACAAGTAGATAAGCCGCGAGGGCAGCGGCGTATTGAGTAGCTTCGGTGAGAGAGCGAGTCATAAAGTAACCTGTGGGGGAGGCGGAGATAATTGGCGAAATCGAAAAGATCGTTTCGTGATGCAACAAGCAGAGCAGCAGGATACGGTTCTTTAAACAATTGTTAACAGGGGAAAGATGAATCATCTAGATGTTTACTGGCCAGGCACTATTGTCGCGCACGGGCAACAGGGAGTGGTACCGACGATTGCACGGCGTGATCCAAGGCGTATTCTCATATCGTGCTCACCAGTGGCGGGAACGATCAAGGGTGCAACTGCACCTAAGCCCAGGGTGCTGCTGCGTGGTGATCCAGAGAGATCCGCCCAGGGATGGAGGCGTGCCGTTGCGACGGCTTGCAGGTCGGCGTGAGAGCTTTCTGCCAGCAACTTCGAACGATCTCAACGTGCGAGCAACTAAATTGTTTGTGTGAGGCTTCGTGGGATGTGGGTACCGGTACCCGCGAGAAGGTAAGTGGAGGGGTCATGGTGGTTTGGGGGTAGGGATCACCCGAACCACGGGTTCGGCGAGTGGTATTTCCTAGGTATATTGGTGGGGTGTGATGTGGCTTGCTCGCTCCAAGGATGCCAAGTATTCGCGTCGCGGCGCGTGCCTTGCTTGCTAACTCCAAGGAGAAACGAATCTGTTCTTGGGCTTTGCTTCTGGCGGCTTGGTTGTGGGGATTTCGAATTTTCGCTCGGGAGTTCCATACTCGATACAAGCATTGCTGGTGTGCATCTTAGATTCGTGGTCTACTTCCTCGTTTTGCAAAGAAATCAATCTGTCACGTTTTCCAATAAACGCAATTGAGGATTTTCTGTGCAATCGGAAGCGGTTCGTTTGCTTCAAATTGAACCTGGTTACCAAATTCTCGCCCGCACTATCGTTTGCATTCGCACCATCATTCTCGTCCCTTCACACAATCATAACAGTCACCGCCAAAACGAAAATACGCGTTCTGATTTCTGTGAAATCAGGCGTTACCGCCACCCACCCACCAACGACGTTACCGCCAGTCGCCCCCTTGCCAAGAGTGGCGCAGACGACGCGTAGCCCTCTCGACGCTCTGACCGCGCTTCACTAAAGTTTTCGCTTCTTCGCCCCCATGGCGTCAGTGCTGCGCGCGCGCATGCTCTTGTTCGCAACTGCGCGCAATGCTGGCGCGAAGGGCGCGAAGAACGGGGAGGCGACGCCGCTGCTTCATTTGCTGGCGCGGCGGCGAATAGGCGGGATGGGAGGGGAGCGGAGTGTGAGGGCTCGCGCGGCGGCGTGAGGATCAAGAGCCGCGACCCAATCACCTTCTCGCACCGCCCTTCCCGCACCCCCGCTCTCTCGCTCTCCTTCCGTCCGCGCCTCGTCCGTGACGGTGGAGGCGCGCGCGAGACCGTGGTGGGCGACGGCATCCGCGAGGCACGCTCGACGGCAGGTGAATGCTGGTGGGGGGGAGGCGGGGAGGAGAGGGGCAGGCGGGGAGAAGAGGGGCAGGCGGGGAGGAGGGGGGCACAATGAAAGGGATGCGAGATGAGGAGACGACTCACCTTGCTGTGCCGCTCGCCTCCCTCCATACATGCTTTGATTTGACTCAGGTATTGAAGCTTCTGAAGAGGTGGCGCTCCCTCTCCCTGCCTCCTCTCAGCTTGTACCCCAGCGTACCCTCTCGTACCCCAAGTAACCCAAGGGACTGGTTATTTGGAGATTTTCTGATCCCTTTTCATTCAATCTCCCCGTCGTCTTCCTCTTCCCTCCCACGTCCCCCTCCCCCCGTTCCCCTTTCTCCTGAGTCAGGCGCCAGCAGTGTTCTCATTGCTGCCATGAGCCACAAGCCGCCACAATGACTGCGCTCACTCCTCTGCTGCCCCCACGTCCACTGTGCTTTTCCCTGCCTTCTAAGTGGAGCAGTGGCACTCACCCTGCGCTGCACCTCTCGCCTTGCCTGCGCTGTCCTCCAGGTGAGGCGAGGACGAGGAGGGGAAGGGAGTGGATGCAGTGCGATGACATGTGGAGGAGGAGACGAGGGCGAGTGCCGCTCGTGTTGCTGCTGCGCTGGCCCGCTGGCTCGTGCTTCCCACTCCATCTTGCACCAAGTTTAAGCACGCTTGCACTCTAATGCTCGTGTGTCAGATGCTCGTGTGTGGCTGTCTCGTTGTGCGTGCTGCGAGTATTCGCCCCTCCCCTGTCGCCATCATCACCGCACGCATTTCCTCTCCCCATGGACAAGATGCGAGAGGAGGAGATTAGTCACCTTGCTGCACTTCGCCCCATTTGCCCCCTCCCCATCTCCCCTCCATCTCCTCTCCCCATCTCCCCTCCCCCACTCCTGACCTCTTCTCTACCCCAGCAACGCTCCGCACTACACTACCTCCCCCCCCCCCCCCCCCCCCCCTTGTTTTCCGCCTTCTCCCCCCTCCACCCTCTCCACTTGCCCATCCGCCTGCCGCCCGCGCAAGTGGCGTTGGCAGCTGCAGCGCAGGAGGCGCGGCGTCCCGTTGCACGCCCCCACCACACGCTGCACACTCCCACCTCACCCACGCCCTTCCCTGCTCTCCGCCGCACTGCTGCTTGGAGCTGGACCTGACAGCCAATGGCACACTGCCACGTCAGAGGAGAGCAAGAACACAAAAACCAGGGTTCAGGGTTCAGGGTTCAGGGTTCAGGGTTCAGGGTTCAGGGTTCAGGGTTCAGGGTTC